GATTTGTATTTGAATCCTGCTTCTCAAGGCAGTTTAGGGGGTATAGATCGCTTGTACAAAGAAGCTAGAAAACATGGATATACACGAAAGCAAGTTAAAGCTTACTTAGAAACCAAAGATGCATATACACAACACAAACCCTTTCGCTCTAAGTTTAAGCGTCGAAAGATTATTTCTGTTAATGTGGGCGACCAACATCAAATTGATCTTGTGGACTTTCAGAAATTTGCAAGTTATAACGATGGCTTTAAGTATATTCTTATGTGCATCGACTGCTTTTCTCGTTATGCATGGGCTGAGCCGGTTAAATCAAAACGACCAGCTGATATTCGCGAAGCGCTTTTAAAAATATACAAGAGTGACTGTCCTCCATTACGTGTTCAAAGCGATAATGGTAAGGAATTTGTTAGTAAAGACATGCGTAAGTTTTTTGAAGAGTGTAACGTTACATTTTTTACAACGAAAAACGATGACGTAAAATGTGCGATGGTTGAACGTCTAAATCGCACAATCGAAGAGCGGTTATATGTGTTCATGACCGAAAACAACACGTATCGGTTCATAGATGTCCTTCCTAAGGTTTTATCCGCTTACAACTCCACAAAACACTCTGCTACAGGTATAGCCCCTAAAGATGTAGGGCCTGAGGAAGCTGAGCAAATTCTCCAGAAGATGATTGATCAACAGAAAGATAGGAAAAATTCAAAACCAACATTTGCTGTTGGCGATCATGTACGTTTGGCAAAAAAGAAACAGACTTTTGAGAAAGGTTACGAGACTCGTTTCACAGAAGAAATCTTTAAAATAACTCACACTACACGGAGTGGAAGCCATTACCTTTACACTGTCGAAGATTTAGCTGGCGAACCCGTGGATGGTAAGTTTTATCCGGAAGAGTTATCTAAAGTCACAATGGAAGAAAAGCCATATCATAGGATCTCCAGGATATTAAGGGAAAGGAGACATAAAGGAAAAGTACAATACTTAGTACGTTGGTATGGATACGGTCCAGCTTATGACTCTTGGGAAAACAAAGAAGATTTGAAATGAGTTTTTACATGACTTTGCCGTCTTCGGCGTCAGAGGGCTTATACTCTGAAAACTGCCCTGGTAAATTTACAACGCTTCTCGCTAGACCCATAGATTTAGACGGTGCGTGGGAAGTTGGTCTTTCAGAAATTATTCTACCCCCTATGCGGATAAAGTTTAATACCGGATTAGCCATTACTGTCTCGCGTGACGGTCTACCGTCTAGATTTACTAGATTTGTCGATGTACATGCTTTTGAGGATGAAAATCATTTACTTCATACGGTTAACAAACTGTTGAGGGAAGACGTAGAGGATAGGGACTCGAAAACCTTTGGTCAAATAATGGTCAGTGGTCAAGCAGCTCAGTTAAACATCGCACCAGGCCTCGCTTTGACTTTTACGGGCTCTGAATATGCGCGCGCATTAGGCATACTACACCAGTACACTTATAACAGCAGAGATGCCCTGACTCATATGTTATATCCGGGACAGCATAATCGTCTCGTGCACGTGTATTGTGACGTGATTACACATGGGTTGGTAGGTGATTCAATGGTACCTTTACTACGCACCTTATCAACTCAAGCGAATTCATTTCGAGAGACAGTAATTCGTTTCGAGAATCCGCATTATATGCCGTTAGCCTACCATACATTTCAAACCGTAGAAATAGCGTTGCGCGATGATTTAGGGAAAGAAGTACTCTTTCATCCCGGTACATCAGTAATTAAACTTCACTTTCGACCAAAGAAGCATTAAAAATGGTTCTACAAGAGTTAAAATTTGACGAGCACCGCTACACCCAGATCTTTACCAAGCAGCATGGGTACGGTATGCCATATTATCGTGGCGCACCCATGAAAGGTGGTAGTTTCTGGGGTCGTGTAATTGGCTTTGCAAAGGGTTTGTTCAGCAAAGCTGCACCGCATATAAACAATTTAATTGCCACTGCACAACCTCACATGAAAACAATGGCCAGCAAGGCTGTGGAATCTGTAATCGATAAAGCTGTTGAGCGTGTTAGCGAGAAATTACGCAACACAACCCAACAACAGGGGTCGGGTATTAAGGGTCGTCGTCGAAAGAGAATGATCAAAACCACGAAACGTCAACGCGCGATAGACGCTATAAAAGACAAACTGTAACGATGGCTCTTATTGAAGCTGGCTCAGAACCCTCCATGCTGTTGGAAAGTCATTTGTTCTATCTTCCAGCGACGCTTACGGAAAGGTGGAATACACATGACTATGACTTGGGGCCGTCTCAAGCCGTGACCGACGATTCAAACGATATTGTATTTACAATTTCACCTTGTCAAACCGAGCTTATCAGTTTAGCTGACATTAGGTTTTCATGTGATTTACACGTTACTAACTCTTCTGGTGCTGTTCCAACAGACAAAGACTGTCTTGCCCCGATTAACAATATTTTACATAGTTTATTCCAGTCAGTTACGGTTTCACTGGGTGGTCGCAATATAACCGATAACAGCCCTTTGTACCACATTCGAGCGTACATTGAATCCCTCTTGGGTTTCACTGTTCAGGCTCAGAACAGTCAGTTGACCCTGTGCGGATTTGCGTTAGATACTGACCTTGACAAAGACCCGTTATACACAAATGAAATAAATGGGTCAGCAACGTTTCATAGTGAGGGAGCTGAAACGCGCAGAACATGGTTGCAGACTTTTCGTCCGTTGCAGTTGTCTGGTAAACTACATTGCGATCTGTTTCAGCAAGACCGACCGCTAATTCCAGGTGTAGAGTTGAGCATTAAACTGATACGAAACAGAGCTAATCTTTGTTTTCTTGCTGATAGTGATCTAGCGGCTCCAAAAAATTTTGCTATTCGAAACCCCAAGCTGAAAGTTCGAAAGTATGAGCCTTCTCCAGACTTTTTAGCAGCCATGACAAAACAACTGGTCACAACTAATGCAAAATATCATATTGAACGGGTCGCTTTGAGACAGACAACAATGCAATCTGGCCAGCAGCAGCTATCTTGGGCAAATATTGTTATTGGACAGTTACCCAAAGTTATGTTCTTCGCGATGTCGCCCAATCGTTCATTCGTTGGCGAATTTAAATCGACACCATTCAATTTCCATCATTTCAACATATCTAATTTAAGTGCGGAAATTGATGGACAGCTTTTTCCTACGCGTGGGTATAACCTAGATTTCCAGAACGGCGCGTCAATTGAGGGATACGAAGGATTGTTAGATACTCTGGAGCGGCTGCATGAAGGCCATGGGGAGCTACCTTTTGATAGGACGGTATTTAACAAGGGTGGTTTTAATATCTTCGGGTTTGACTTCACTCGCGGCCACACGGGTAGAGGAGCATTGTCGTTGATAAGGCAGGGTAATTTAAACATCAATGTTAAATTTGCAAAACCACTACCAGAAGGTATAGTCTGTGTAGCTATGATGGTCTTCGATAATATTATCGAAATTAACAACAATCGCCAAGTACTTTTTGACTTCGCACCATGAACAGCCTACAAATAGAAACAGCGCTGAAGCAAGATCCCAACGTTCGCAATATTTTTGTTGGGGTATTTGCCAGCGATACATTACCAGTAAAAGAATTTCCAGGTGCATACATATCAAATACTCAACCGTCAGGCGCGGCGGGTGAACACTGGGTAGCATTTTATTGTACAAAACCCGGTACGATAGAAGTTTTTGATTCATACGGGAAAAATCCCGGAGACTATTCAGATGACATTAAAAAATGGATAAATGATGACTTTGTCATAATGTCAAACACTGAACGCCAAAACACTGACAGTACTGTATGCGGTCAATATTGCATGTTTTTTGTTTTACTTCGTTGCTACGGGTTTTCATATAAAGATGTCATGTCAGCTCTCACTAAGCATAAAGGGGTGAACGATAAATTTGTATGCAAATTCATCAACAAGTTCTTCCGACTAAGGACGGTAGTCCGCGACGCAACATTTATACGCGACCTTATAAGAAATGGTTAAGCCGATAGCTAAAAAAGCAGCATCAGTATTCTTTGCAGTACTGGTGACCATGCTGCTATTAGTTTTCAATACTTTAGAAATTGTTTCCTATTTTGTAAAGTCCTCCAACCGTACACAGTTGGAGGAATCTAAAAAAATTACGAAAGAAGTGTTGGATGTGATGGTGAGTGACGAAGCGACACAAACCGAGTGATTTTTCCCCTTTCTTTTATTCATTTTTCCCCACCACCTCTTTTTTCTATCGCGTGCCAAAGGGCAGCGTTGTGAAATCATCTAACATGATGCGTTTATCGTACACAAGCTTCAACTTTTTAGCCAATTGAACAGTATTAATTTCTTGCGTTTTTCCATTCCGCTTGATGTATTCCGGATACACGACCTGCACATGTTCATCCACACCCTCCAGCAGTCGCTTCAGCTGGTTGAAATCCAACGCCTTGCCGGTCCTTGTCAGCTCCTTCGTAACCGAGTCCCAATCCAGAATATCTTCCGTGAACCCGTTCTGCGTCATTCCCTTCACTTTCATTTCAATGCGTCCCGTATCTGTTTCGTAGCTGTAGACTTTCGGACCGCAGGAGACGAATTTGACAATATGGTTTTCGCCAGCTTCTAGCTGGTTATCCCAGTCACCAAGGATACTACCAGTTTCAGGAAGCCAGTCGTTAGGGCGGTGAACGAAAATCACAGAGTCCGTATCGTAGTAGAGAAGTCGCTCACCTAACTTTTCCATGAGGTCCAACAGGATGAGACGTGCGTGGCTTGTGGTGAAAGCGGCAACAACAACATTCGTTCCATTGCCACCTTCGTTGTAGTCATCCACTTTCGAATGTGTTACCATCAGACACGTTGGACTCACACCATACACATCATGAATCTCAATAGCTTTTGAACGACACAGATCAGAATATCGTTTGGGATCGTACACGAATTCCGTGGAATTCATATCGCAGCTCTGGCCAGTCTTACCCCAAAGACTATTCAGCGCGACTTTGGCGAGCGCCTTCCGGCATCAAAAACCATGGCGTCAGGGTCCAGGATAATACCTTCACGGTCTTTGACCATCTGAATGAAATTTGCCTTCTTCTCATCCGTATCGCACCACGCAGGCCAACCGCTTGCTTCCATTTTCACTTTCAGAAACTTATTCATATACGCCGCAAAGAGTTTGGTGTCCGTCTGCGCCCAGTGCCAGACTTCGTACATTTCGACAACCCGGTACCCCACATCCACCGCATGATGTAGCTCTGGTGTGCACCAGATCCCTTCGAAAGACAGTTCTTCATCGGAATGGACACAGCGGCTGGTCACTTTCTCCATTGCGCATTTTTTGCATAGAACAAACATCAGTTTGTCGTTGATCGTCAACGGTAAGACTGGATACAGGCATTCATCCGGTGCAGCGACTTTACAGTAAACAAACCCGAAATAATCTTTGACATCCTTGAAATTGGATATGATTATTTCAGGTTGACCAACTGGATACGCCTTCGTTTTGTTCACAAAGGGATAGAGGCTGACAACGTCAAAGTGTCTAATTTCTTCCCCATGCTTTACTTCGTAAAATAGACGACTGGCGTTTGTCCTCCCGCCCTTGAAGGCATCACGTGGATTCATTGGCTCTCGTATGTTCGTGTGCTGCAAAAATCCGGCAATAAATGGATCCTCCCGCTCTCTGAGCCACTCACAACCCCATTTCACTTCCACAGTGTACCCCTGGCTTTCGAGAAAACGCTCACGTTCTAGGTATTCTTCGTAGACTTCTCGCATTTTCTTCTTGGAGTACGGGACCACATCGTTTTCGTCGGTGCAAGCGGGATGCCCATGGAAAACACAGCCATTGTACTCGTAAACGGTTTGGGTTTCCTCGTCGAGGCCGTCTACAAAGTATCGACCAATTTTGACTTCTTTTCCGTTTCGACCATGGCGTATGCGCCCATTAGCACTCATATTCTCCCATTCCAGCCATTGCGCGGCCTGGATACTGGTGCGTCGGTTTCTGTGAGGACCATGGCTGGCTAAGGCAGCGACTTTGTTTTCAGGAAGGTGAAAGGTTTTCCAGTAGCGATAGCAGGCGGCGGGCATGGTTATGCTCTCCATGGGATTCAACGAAGTGAGTGTACGGTAGTCGTTGATAAACTTCAACGCACAGAGCCGCAAGACCGTAACATCGTTCGAGCAATACGTCATCATCTGCTCGCGAAAGTTGAATACTCCATTAGCGGCGGCTTTTGCTTCAGCGTGCCACTTGAGGAATTCAGCTTTCTGCTGCTTCCGCATCCCATCAATCATATACTGATCCGGATCGGGCCAAGGCAAATCGACTTTATCCCAATTCTCAGGCTTATTAAACCGATGAGGGAAATCACCTTTCTGCACTTCAAGCTCCAAACCAACAGCCTTCGGTAGTTGACTCAACCGCAGTGCCAGGAAGTTGAGTGTATCTCGGGATTGGATGCCCAGTTTGCGGTACTTCAATTCCAGCAGTTGCGTACCCCGTTTGATGACCTCCACCCCTTTCAATCCATTATCCAACATATACTTCAGGACAAAATGCCCATCGTAGCCCCGAAAATTATGCGCGATAATGGTAAACCCACGATGCTTCTCTTGAAGCAACCAACGACCAAAAGCATCACCAACTTCCGTATTCATCGGCTGACCGTCTTCTGGAAAGCGGACTTCGGAACCGTCGGCGTACTGCGCCACAATACACGAGGGTACGTGTCCGTTCACAGGATCATTGTAGGTTTCGTAGTCGAAGAAAATATATTTCATATCTTCATCGCCAAGCCAGGGTGTTGCTGGCGCCTTCAGAGGCTTTATATAGCAACAATGGTTGGCTTGGAGGAAATAGCCGTAGCATGTGTTGCAGTAAAATTCACCGCACTGATGCTTTGCATCCTTTCCCCGAGTGGAAAGATTCACAAACACTCCGCATTTCTGGCAGATGAACATGGTCTGGCAGTAGGTTTTCCCGTTTTTCCTTGTTCTTTTATGAATGTCGAAACACTGCTGGTTGAGAAAGCGGCGGTGACAGTCAGTGCAGTTGACGGGATTATCCACCAGACAATTGCTCTTGGCACGGTAGCACAATCTGCACTTGCCTCCGCAGCGGTGACGTTCTTTATGATGGTACGGTCGATCGCAATCATTGCAGAAGTAGGGGGAGCAGTAGAACCCAGTAGCCGTGGTGACAAGGTTAAAATGCTCATTGTCCAGCAACAGAAAGATTTCCTGCATATCATGGGTTTTACGCTCTGGTACCCGTGCAATAATCATATCACCCTGGTTGGCTGAAATGATTTTGATTTGGAACTCTGGGAAGGCTTCCTTCTGCAACACTTCCAGGTCATCAAGGTCACAGTAACGGCCAGGGGGTAGAAGACACTCTTCCATTATCTTCACAGCTTGGTCTTCCAGATTGGCTGTGCGGTCCGAGCGTATATAGTTGTTCCATTTATTTTTATGCTGCGGCACTTGTAAATCATGCGTCAGGCGAAATTTTCCCAGAAACAGAGCGGCGGGTAAGCATAGGTTATTGTTTACACGGACGGATACAATGGACGTCTTGAAACGATTCTTGTCATGCTTAACGTACTGATGTCTGAGAAACCAGGATCCACCAGCAGGCATAATAGAGCGCCAGATACGTATGGTGAATGAATCGTCAATGACTAACTTCTGCCCAGAGTTCAACAGCTCAATACGATGCAAAAACGCGGGTATGCTGAAGTCAGAAAGCTTCCGCATGGTTAAGTAGAACGCTCTTTCGAGACCGTCGGATTTCAGAGCCACAACAACACGGTCCGTAGGAGCGAACTCTTTAAAACACATATCCATTATGACGCGTAAGATTTCTGGCATAATGAGCATGGTCTCTTCCTTTTGGAAAATTCGGGGTAGGGGGGCAATTTCAACGCGGTACTTCTGTTCGGTGCTGTTGAAAGTTTTGAAAACGCGCTCCGATTCTTTGACAAGCTGGAAGAGGCCTGTGAAATCCGGGATCGACTCACCCCTGGCTACACTTCCGCCGGCTTGCGGTGGATCCTCATATTGCCAGTCATCCATGTGTGCAAGAGCAAGGGCGGCAGCTAGAGAATCTGGACTTAACTGATTAACTTCGTCGTGATGTAGTAAGGCGGTTACGAGAGTCTGCTCATCGTGTTCATTGAATTCATTGGGATTAGCTAGCATATGGTTAATGGCGTCCTGATCCTCAGTGGTTAAGCGATACGTATTAGCATGATCATCATCAACATCCATCCACGGATCGTTAAGCATGGCCGCGATAGCCTCACGATCAGAAGCAGACAACTGGTAAGCCATTTTCGAAAGAATAAAGAGAAAAACGCGTGCCGCGTGGCTTTTATAGACGAGATGCGAAAGCGTAGATTGTGCTCATTGGTTTGTCGTTTTCTGCAACGTGACGTAATTGGTCAGCAGTGTTTCTAGGCCCCACCTTTGGGCGTTCCAGTGGGCGCGAGTGGATACTTACCGGCGCTAGCAGCGCCGGTAAGTAACCACTCCCCCTTTCATGTTTAAACGTGAAAAATGTATGACGATAATTGTATGTTTCTGATAAGTTACCTATTAAAAACACCGAAAAAGCGCAGCATTGTATTATTCAGCTACATCATTACGGCCCGGGTAATATGATTCCGTCACCCCATCATAATAATACATATCACAAGACACAGTTGAATGGAATGCTGACAACGGATACAGCAAAGAAATGAGATTGCATTATCGAAAAAAAAAACACGTTTTGTAATAACAATAAGCTAAATTCAACCAGCAAATATGGGTCATAAAAAACAATTGTTACAAACAGCATTCAAAAAAACAATACGGGTTGAAAAAAATGCACTGATGGAACCAGTTTTAATCAATAGTAATCACCTCGATCTCCTGCTTCTTGGCTGGCGGTTCGTTGTTGTCGTCGTCGCCGTCGTTGTCCACCTCCGAATGACCACGCTTCTCGCCACTGACGTACGCAATCAGCTCCTCTCGTTCAGCCAAGTCAAGTTCCTCCAGCAGCAAAGTAGCCTCCAGCTCGTCCTCAGTTTCCGGCACGAATTCGCTCTCCACTTCTGATGGTGGTTCGTCAAAAGTGTCGTCAGCTAGGACGGCCACGCCTCCTTCGTCGTTCTCGTCGCCAACGTCACTGTCAGCTTCGTCCGAATCGTGCTCCAAGAAGCCAGAATCCATAGAGTTGTCAGGATCAGTCTTTATACGATTATTGTAGAAGTCGACAAGGTCAATCTACCAAAAAAATATTCAAATAAACGATGTGCGAGAACTAATATCCAAAAAAACCAAACGTATTTTCGCTGTACCATTTACTGAAGAGAAAACCATTACACTAGTGACAATTGCAATGAAACTTTTCCAACGGTTCAGAACCTTTGATATTTAAAAACTTTAATTGCTTATTAAAAACAATCATATTTTCGATTTAGTTACTAACTGCTAAAAAACCAAAGACGTTTACCTTGAACCAAGACACCCGATAAAACGCAGCAAGTCCTCCTTCACAACAGACTAACCACGAAAGTTCATTCCACAGAAGCACAGCTTGAATGTATGAGTGGAAGTACGTTAGGATTTTCTCGGCAAGAGTATAACCCTTCCATTCCGCAATCAGATTATCCGCTTTCTCTACAGAAAAACCTTTTCTAGTCTCGATAAATTGTTAAAAAATCTTACAGAATTTTATCGAAATACAGAATAATAGGTTATGCTATCACATGCATTACACTACCGAATAAAAAACGCTACGGTACGACCAAATTGAAAAGTAGTAGTATTTAAAGGTACGAAAGTAGAATAAAAAATAATCATGATCCAAAAATTATCATTGACTTACCAATCAATCCCGGAAGCTCTTCTGAAGTTGTGGGCATAGGATCCGGCAAAGCCATGAGTACACTCACAATCACACGATAATCAAGCACAAACTATTCTGACCAAATGATGTAACGGCAGAAAATGATGGATTTGCTTGAGAAACATGGGTTTATATTCACCGCGCGCAACTTGGAAGATTTTTTCGAATGACTCCTATTGGCTAGAACGTTCCATGTGTCGTTTTTCTCTAGTGCAGTTGTGTCTCCCTGAAGGTTGTATGAATAAAGACAACCCCAGTCCTTTACTAGACCAAGAAATACCATTAAAGGGGTTGCTCGGTCTTATGGGCAGCCATCCCCTTTAGTAGGAGGTGGAAACATACGGTGGGCGGAGAGTGCGATGGAAAATTCTTACTAATCAAAGAGCTAAGGCAGAACCATTGTTAGAACCCGGAAAAACCGTGCTCCATTAGGTTTTCTTGGACAATGGAAACTAGACTAATGTCGCGACAAAGTCCGGATTCCAGAGACTGAGAAAGGACCAAATGAAAGGTAGTTTGACCCAGAAAAACAAGTTCTAATTAGTTTTACTCACAAAAGAATCTAGACACTGTCGCGACTAATCTCGGATACATGATACGTAACAGGGTACCTCAATAAGGCGCTTAAAACAAAGACGAGGCAGTTTTGAATAATAGAATCTAGTCTGCTGTCGCGACAGGATCCGGGATTAACGGTGAATCAACAAGTCGCTTGACCCAGAAAAACAAGACACAATGGATGTTTTGCCTCAGAACTCAATTGTTCTGACAAAGCCTCTCGTACCTTATTCATCTTGTGGAATCTCCCGACATCATAAACAGGAGGCGTGAGTTTGCAACGTTGGTTAGGAGCAAGGCAGGACCCGAGTAACGCCTACTTGGTTTCTCTCTGATATTAGTGCGTTCCAGTCATTCTTTGTTTTCCAAGTGGTATCTTATTGGTTGAGTAAGTTAGACCATACCCACACCTGGTTTCGGTCTGATATTAGCATATTCCGGTCACTCATTGTTCTAGGGATGGATTTGGTTGGTTCTTGGTCTAAACACTAAAAATCAGTCTAGTCAACGGCGCTCTGTTAACATTACGTCAGCGTACAACGAATTCAAACAATTGGTCGTACAGATCGTTAAAATCAAAAGTTGAAACTCCATGTTATTTCGAGTTATATAAGCAGCGCGACCAAGCGCTTTTCCTTCATTCCAACAGTTTTCTTATTCCTTCTGGATTATTACCGCATGGATCAGTTGGACTCGTTAGTTTGTTAGATTGTTCACAGTTACTTTTACCGTACCTTCTTTACCAGTTTAGTTTTACTAGCTTTCAGTTAGTTCTGTGACCTTTCACGATGTCTACCCGATCCGAATCCGCTTCTTCCAATTCCTCCTGGGAGTCCGTGTCCGTTGATGATGTTGCCATTGCTGATGTTGCTGATGTTGTTGATGTTATGGAGGATTATTCCGGGTTGGAGTTGGAGGATCCATTGAGTCAGTTTGCTGAAGAGGCCGTGGAGGTGGATAGGTTCATCTGGTTGTGGAACCAAGGGACTTATGAAGAGCGGGTTGCGTATGCTGATCAAGCTGCTGGTAAGCAGGATTTGTAAAATGTTGAATAAAGAAATATTTAAAAAAGTTTCAAAAAACAAGAGACTACCTTCCCCAGGTGACGTCATATTCACTAACATGGATGACGATGTGGAGGAGGAACTAGCCTTTTCCGTGTCACGGGGACCTGCTACCCCACTGCCGGAGGTAGCTCCCATGGTGTACAACCCACGCTCTCCATCCCCAGCCCCATCGCTGCCACAACTCGTGGAGTACAGTCCTCGCTCCCCTTCTCCATCGCTGTCACCTGTGTCGATGAATTTGGAGCGACGCCTTGCTAGCCCAGCGCCTCAAAATCGTTGGGCTGTGGATCGTGTGGTCAGAATGCGTGTGCCTCCACCATCACCGCGACAGCCTTCCACTTCCAACCTGATTCGCCTGACTACTCCTGACCTGTCTCCACTTCGCAGCCGTCCGTCGGTAGCCCGTCATCCACGCCCCCGACGCCGTTCGTCAACTCCACCAACTCCACGTCAGCCTTCCAATTCCAATACGCTCTCGCTGATTACGCCAACCCCAATGCCTAGGGCCGACCCATTCCACTCCCACATTATGAATGCTCCAAATCGTCGACGCCGCCGCCCATCAACTCCCCACCATTCGACGCACGCTGTCTCGCCTGTGACCATTTCGCGGCTGGTTGTCGACGACATCAGTCTGTGTCGCTACATCCTTGACCCCGATTCGCCAACTGTTTTCGATCGAATCCAGCGCATCCAGGACTCGCCAACCGACCACTTCTACGAAGAAGTCTACGCTCCGAAGCGTTCGGCTGATCCAGGTAACGATTCGGCTCCTCGCCGCTTCCGCCGCCACTAAACCTTGTCGGGTCATTTCACTTTTTTAAAAAATTCGCCGCATTGTTTTTTTATTATTTTTTTTTGTAAGTTCGCCGCAATGTTTTGTCAGTTAATAGGGGCTCTCTGTTTAGTGTCTTTATCGTACAGGTTTAGCCTGAAACTGTATAAATGAACCGTGTTTGCTTTGTACTAGTACGAATGTTGTGTGTAATCAACTATGCATGCTTGAGTGTATTGGGATTAGCATTAAACTGTGTTTGTCATCAGTTCTGAGTAAGTTCTGTCTAATTTGTGTCTAGCACAATAGTCTAGCCTGTTTTCAGTGTATGAGCTTATTCAGTGATAGAGCCCGAAACAATTAGGCAAAGTTATTATTCCCTAGAAATTATTCTGCATTAAGTAAAGGTAGAATGTCGTTGAGTGTTTCAACCATCTTTTGTTATCCACTGGGTACAAAAGAAGAGCCAGATATTAATCCTGGTTTACTAGGTCAAACATTCTTTGGATTTTTGTTTCGTATATAATGTCATCCTGGTTCGTCGCGACAGTGTTAGCCCGGGTTTTTGTTTACGTCTAGACACATTAGTCTGGGTTCTATTGTCTGTCGAGAAATACAATACTTGTTTTTCTAGGTCAACATATAATAAGGTATTATATCAACAAAACTTTCAATTGTTAGAACAATCACTACTATGCAATTCAGTTAGCTAACTAAACAAGGCAGCGGTCCGAGCGTAGCGAGTCGGCGTGGCCTCAGCTCGCTATCGTCTGGCTTTCCTTTCTTTCTTCTTTTTTTTTTTTTTTTTTTTTTTTGCTCTCTCTCTCTCTCTTTTTCTCTAACTTTTCTCTCTAATCTAACTACTATATCAAAGACATAATACGTATTTTCTCAAACGACATTTATTCCCATGTAAAATCCCATAAGAACACAGAAAAGTCCATCACAAAAAACAAACAGTTTTTTATTATACAATGTTCTGAAAAAGTCCATCACACAAAACGAAAACACAGTTTTATTGTTGAACTCAGCTTAAAGAAGCAGAAAAACATTCGCAATAACCACACACACACACACATTCTAATTGAACTTAAAGTTAACAGATGGCATCCAAGTGTCATTGAAATCAAAAGAATGCAGTGAGACAGGTCCGTCATCCAGTACCATCTCCTCCAACTCCACAGTCAACTGTTGAACAGGCGTATGCTCACCCCAAATGCTGCTGAAGTCCATGGTGCGCTCACCCTCCGCAATAGAGTCGTCCAGTGTGATGACCTCGGAGCAGCTAGGGAAGACGAGGCGAGGCGTAGGCGGATCAATGGTGATGACTTCGGAGCAGCTGGGGAAAGTGAGGCGAGGCATGGGTGGAATCACAGGCTTAGCCTTCGGCTTCACCAAAGGCTTAGCCTTCGGCTTCACCAACGACTTAGCCTTTGGCTTAGACACGGGTTTAGCCTTCGGCTTAACCACGCGCTTCACCTGAGGCTTGGCCTTTGGTTGAGCCTTACGCTGAGCCTTTGGTTTAGCCTTACGATACGACAGGGGCGGTTCTGGCAGCTCAGCAACGTAATTCCAGGCACGCACGTTAACAAACAAACCAGGGCACAAAGCGTCAATCAGTTTCTAAAGATAAAAAATCTATAATAGGGTTTCAAAAAATGTTTATCTAATTGATTAAATAATACCTCTAGCTCGTGCAACCAATCCATCAGATCACGGTGATCCTGACCAATGCCCTTAACCCACGTGTAATCAGCCTTCAACGCCACACGAAGTACAGTGCTTACAATATCTAATGAAAATAAAATAAAAATTAGAAATATGATCAAACTAGAAAAAACAGTAATTAAAACATACCCTTGAAATGCTGAGCTTGTTTAACATTCTCTTCATCAGATCTCGACTTCCATATCTTAAGGTATTCCATAATTTCATCTATAGAAAATTAATATTTTTAATTTTTATTTTTTAAATTTATTTCAAAAGAAAAACTAGATTAAAGGTCAACTTACCAGCTTGCTTGATGGACCACAAGACGTAGTGCTGCCGGTTGACAAATAGGAACATGTGAGGAGGCATGGGGTGGGCCAAAATGGCTGCACGCTTGGCATAACTAAGACGAGGCATGGTTAAGGGTCCGAGGAACTGCTAAACAACTAAAAACTAACTGAAAAAAGCAGGTAATGGAGGTAATCCAATGGAGAAAAGTAAACTGTTGGAATGAAGTAAAAATGCCCGGTCGCGGCGTTTATATAACCCGAAACCAAACGAAGTTTCAACTTTCGATATCCAGAAAATCGTACTATCTATTGTCTGATATCGTTGTATGATGACGTTATGTTAGCTGAATACAGTTAACTAGACTAACTTTTAGCGTACAGACCAAGAACCAACCAAAAACCATCTCGAAAACAATGAAAGACTGAAACGCGCTAATATCAGACAGAAACCGAGGTAGGCGTATCTTGCCAAGCAACTACCAATAAAAATCGTCCCGAAAACAATGATTGACCGAAACGCGCTAATATCAGACAGAAATCCAAACTACCAATAAAAATCAAGCCGAAAACAATGAAAGACTGAAACGAGCTAATATCAGACAGAAACCAAATGGGCGTTACTAGATACCTCCCCTTCCCTAAGCGAGTGTACCTAACTCCCTCCCACATACGCCCTAACTATACTTACTCAGCCTGGCCTCACTCCGCTCGGCCACGGCAGGAGACCTCCCGCGCACACGCCGAGAGAACAGTGACATAGTCCTCGCTACGCTCGGACCGCTGCCTTGTTTAGTTAGCTAACTGAATTGCATAGTAGTGATTGTTCTAACAATTGAAAGTTTTGTTGATATAATACCTTATTATATGTTGACCTAGAAAAACAAGTATTGTATTTCTCGACAGACAATAGAACCCAGACTAATGTGTCTAGACGTAAACAAAAACCCGGGCTAACACTGTCGCGACGAACCAGGATGACATTATATACGAAACAAAAATCCAAAGAATGTTTGACCTAGTAAACCAGGATTAATATCTGGCTCTTCTTTTGTACCCAGTGGATAACAAAAGATGGTTGAAACACTCAACGACATTCTACCTTTACTTAATGCAGAATAATTTCTAGGGAATAATAACTTTGCCTAATTGTTTCGGGCTCTATCACTGAATAAGCTCATACACTGAAAACAGGCTAGACTATTGTGCTAGACACAAATTAGACAGAACTTACTCAGAACTGATGACAAACACAGTTTAATGCTAATCCCAATACACTCAAGCATGCATAGTTGATTACACACAACATTCGTACTAGTACAAAGCAAACACGGTTCATTTATACAGTTTCAGGCTAAACCTGTACGATAAAGACACTAAACAGAGAGCCCCAGTGTCAAAGTACATACTATACCATGCAAACGATCTTGTGCGCAGTAACACCATAACCGGCCAATACTCTACCCTTACGGTACAACAAGGGGTTGGACTTCGTACTAATGACCCAATAGCTGGTAACCATACTGTTTTGGAGGTGTGGTCTTGAATCGCCGCAGTCCCAAGACACTATATAAACCCCAACTACCCATTGCAGGTGCTCAGTTGATTATCAAAATGGATATGACACTGATCAGCAATCGCTTTAACAGTTTTGAAAACTGGCCGGACCAGTCGCTCGCCCCTAGAGAATTGGCAAGCCAGGGGTTTTATTATCAAGGGGTGCATGACGAAATTCACTGTGCATACTGTGGCTATATTATGGGTGACTGGGTGAACTCACGGTATAAACCATACTACCGACACCGCTTAGCCCGTCCAGACTGTGTGAGGGGCGAAGATGAGAGAATACTACTTCCGTTTTCACCGGCAATGAAAGACTACAAGGCACGCTTCGCTACTTACGCTGAATGGCCAGCAAACAAACAACAGCATCCCAGGGATATGGCTGCGGCCGGTTTTTATTATGAGGGCAAGGATGATCGTGTACGCTGTTTTCACTGTGGAGGTGCACTACATGCTTGGGAGAAAGACGATGTCCCGTGGGAGGAGCACGCTTGGACTTACCCAAAGTGTCCGTATCTTATACAGACAAAAGGCTTAGCATTCATCAGTGACATTCGGAAAAAACGCAAAGAAGCCGAAACAACGTGTTGTGTGCTATTGCGAAAAGCACCGCCAGCTACGCTGACCGAAAATCCCAAAGAGAAGTTGAGCTGTAAAGTTTGCTACGAGAATGATTCTGAAATCATGTTTAGACCCTGCGGTCATTTAGTTTGCTGCGCAAAATGTTCAAGCAAGCTGCTACTGTGTCCGATTTGTCGGGGTGTTATTTTCAATAAGTGTTGGGCTTTCTTCTGTTAGATTGTGTGGTATTTCATGTTCATTCATGTTCATACAAAAAAAAAGAGGGTGGGGAAAAATAAACAAAAGAAAGGGGAATTCAGTTCGGCTCCAAACCGGTTCAATCGGCTCCAAACCGGTTCGACTGAAAACCGGACCGAAACCGAGCCGAACCGGACCGAAACCGAGTTGACGGTAGACTAGCGGCATATCTTCTGTAGTATTAATACGAAAGTACGGTACTTACTACATTTGTAGCTTTAATTTGTACATACGAACAGCATCTGTAGAGTAGGAATATCGGGTATGTAATACCGATCCCTTCACACATAATAAGTAATAATAATTTTATCTTTTCGCGTTACAGTCTCATACATTTACGGTCAAAACTATGTCACTAGTAAAAAAATTGTGAGCAAAAATCTCAAACAAATGCACCAAAGCCAAAACATTCCCGGGATACGGCAGTTACAGCGTGTAATGTTCCGGGTGATCCACTTGGTAAGAGACTGGTAATTGTCGATTCTCCCGCACCGTCTTTGTGCACACTCAAAATGTTGTCACTGAAAAATGCACATAGCAATTACTGGCTTTTTAAATTGGCCGGAATTGTATGATAATAAGGCAGCAACGCAACGCCAAAAGCTCTCACCGGGCCCAATCAGTCCAATAGAGCACACCGCGGTAGACTGTCATCCTAAAGGGAGAAATGGATGAATCTGCGGCAACTACGATGCTGCGATTACTGCCGTCCAGCGATGCGCACTCCACATTATGCGTCCCTTCCCAGGAAAAAAAGAAACTTTTTATTAGATTCTGACATCGCCATATTGGCGAAATCAGACAGTTTTACCGGCATCCGCCCAACAAATTTCATCGGTGTCGAGATCAACCGTCAGTGCATGCGGCAGCATCAAATTACTGCTGACAATGGTCCGTCGCTCGCTGCCATCCATGCGGGCGACTTCAATCTTGGGAGCAGACGACTGACTCGAATCCCAGTCGGCCCAGAAAATTAATCTACAATGCAAAAAAATGAACCAACAAACCGGCATTTTTGTTGCAAAAAAATCGGTGCCTAGGACTGAGATCACAGTCCACAAACACCGAAAACATACCCTTTACTTGGATGTACGGCGATTGACCCCGGACTCGAGAGATTATCCGCAATAAGGATTTTTGCCTGCATTTCCGTATCGTTTAACCGGGCGCAGGCGATATGACCATGCGTGGCATCCGTCCAGAACAGTGTGCGGCTTATGGGATCGATGGCCAGTCCATCGCCCGAATACACTGCAAAAAAGCAAGAGCACACAATTTCATGTAACAGTTTCGAAACGCATAGTTATCAATGCGGATTCAATGCAGTCCGTTGAATTTCTGACCGCCGATTTCTCTGAACATAGATTTAAAAAACCTTTTTTTTAAAGTTTTAAACTTCAACTGTGCAATAATGTAGCAACGAGTCTGTATCATTGCTTTCGTGGGACATATTGCTGCCATTACGCTACGATCGCGTGCACATGTTAACTCGGCTTATGCTTCTCGCGTATACGGTGATCGGAAATTCATAGCGACGGGCTTGTAAACGTGTACTTAAACCGCAGCGGGAGGACACACTATAACACCACAGTTACACTATAGTGACCACGGTTTCCATTACCGCTATCGCGATCAAGAACCACTTTGCGATCCGTCCCATCGAAGCGCACTCGGTTGATGGTGGGTCCTTCGAGATCCGACCAGTAAATAAATCGTTCTTGGCAGTCGACGGCCATACCAAGGGCTATTTGGTAGATCAGGGATACCATCTCTTCCGGGCCGGATGAGATATTATCCAGGGGAAGTTTCATCACTGAGTTTCCCCTACTGTACACCAAAATTCCCGCATCCGTAGGTGCGCTCTCGGTTGACATGCTGTCAGGTTTGGCAGTGGCTTCGGAAAACTCGCGTATAAATCAACTGGCTTTCAGATTTTCGTTTGTTTGTTGCAACAGGTTAAACGTTTACCTCTGGATGATGAGTTGTTAAGGACATCCAAGCAATGAGAGTTTGATGAACAAAGAGCAAGAAATAAGCAGAAAGCCGAAAGCATCGTCGAAAAAACGTCAGATAACGCCATGGCGGCATCCAAGTCAGATTTTGAGGACTACGGAAGCTATCACAGAACTGTCACAAATTAAGGTATAGGCAATGGTTATCGGCCGAATGATTGCATTGGCATCGCCATTGTTGGAACTACGCTAATGCTGAGTATATTCTGCCTGGATAGAGAACCAAAACATAGAATTTATAAAAATTGTGGATGCATGTGTAGCACTTTGTTTGTATTGCCATTCAGCCGACGGTGTGGCAAAACGGTTAGCTGGGGATAAGATTGAGATGACTAATCAATACATTCACGAAGGGTAGCACTCGTACTTACTTGTAAAACGATGTTCCGTTTTGTTGCTTATGAATGTCACAACTATTAATTTACCGGCACTTTTTTGTAGCCCTCGTGATCTACCGGCATGTGGTCCTGCGTGTTTGGAGTTTGTATTATAAACATAATCAAGACATAAAACCGAAATACTACTCTAGTTTAAAACAATTGTGAATTTCCGATGTCAAAACATACACGATGAATTTACTGGATCTCACCAAATGTCGGACCTGCCTGTTTTAAGTACTAATACGAGTACTGTTTTTGGCGTTTGTGCATTCGAAATGCCACTTATAACACTAATGTTAGTGCGGATTGCACCAAGGCCCAAGCTACAAACAAGGCTTCAAAATGGTTAATTATGACCAATGGCTACTCATACCGTAATGTTGTGTTTCAGGCTTCGACTAAATCATCCTTGTGATCATCTTATGCCGGTGATAACAATTAATTTTGGCGTTTTTCGAAAATAATTTCAAAGTAAAGCGGGGTATTAACAACGTTTCCGTAAATCGATTTTGCAGTGTCGAAGGGTTTTCCGGATACACGTTTGAAGGTGAAATGTCGGATGAGACTGGGAAAGAAAATGAACAATTCCATCCGGGCTAAGGACTCTCCCAGACAAAAGCGCTTACCTAAATAAAAAAAAAGATTAAGTCCACTGTCCACACAACATTTAACTAATTAACTGCGTGCAAATTAAATTAGTCGGTAAGCTGGATGTTGAAACTGCATCCGCTAAAAGATGTGATTTGCTGCGACATACGCTAAATTTTGATTAAGCGAAACATCCGGTCGAATAGCAATAGCACATCCGGTCGAATAGATCTGGAATATTGAATCAAGCTGCGTATACTAACCAATTGAGAAGGGTATGAAACCTTCCACTTTAGATCGTAGATGTCCGTTGTCATCCAAGAATCGTTCGGGATTGAATTTGTGAGGCTCGGGAAAATACTTTGGATCCATGTGGCAAGCGTAAAGGCTGGGTGTGATAATTGTTCCGGCAGGAATTTCATAGCCGTTGATTTTCACATCTTCGGTGGGGCAGCGAATGGCGAACGGGACCAGATTAGCCATCCTCTGTACCTCATGGATTACCGCTTGCGTATACGGTAATTTATCTATACGATATATAAAGTAGCATATCAGACTCGATTGAGAGAATTGTAAACTAACACCGACTCAAGAACACTCTTACAAACCCCTCAAAAGACATTCGGTTAACGGAGTGAAGTGTTTTATTAGTACCGCGTAAATCCAGGGTAGCGTATTGTCCAGCCGGTATGTATTCGTCGACTTCCGCTTGAACCTTAGCGTACACGTTAGGATTCTCCAAAAGATACATGATCGCCCATGTTAGCGTTGTCGATGTGGTTTCCGTTCCGGCTCCAAATAAATTGAGCATTACAACTTCCAACTGTTCTTCTGCAAAACGTATACACCAAGTTATACATTAATAGATCAAAGGTCATGCTAACACCTGAAGAAACCCTTCTGTATACCGCAGTGAACAAAACTGCAGCTCGCTTTTATAACGTTATAATGCATATCCGTACGGTAGAACATTATGCGACCTACCGCCAAGCGGGAGTTACCTGTATATGTGCTTAGTGGATTGCTTGACTGCTTGTCTTTCTCCACTAGAAACGCATGAATGTAATCCCGCAGTTCACCGTCCAGGTGTTTCTTATGGTCTTCAATCAATTCACGAAAAAAGGCGATTTCCTGAGCTTGATTAGCCGTTAGCTCTAGAAAATTTCTTCTCCAGCTGGTAAAGGGTATAAAACGCATAATAGGAAAGATTTGCACTAGGCGCAATTTGGCGATTAGCCGGAAATTCTCCGCGACCAAATTGGCCAACCGGCGAAACCGGGTGTCTTTATGGCTAAACCGCTGTCCATAGGAAATAGCGCAGACGACATTGGCAATGCTGGGCGACAGGTAATCGGTGGGATTGATCGGCTGCCCGTTTACACCCTCCAAGTCGCCGACCAACTCGCGAGCTTCGTCAATGATCAGGTCTTGTAACCAAGTCTTCCCCAGTCCGAAATCGCGAAGGGTGGATAAGGCAAAGCGGCGATGTTCTTTCCATATTTCGCCATCCGTGAATAATATGCCTGCAACAGCAAGGTTAATCAGATTCAAACTTTGTAAATATCTAGGCTATTTTGAACAGAACATAATATTATGTGCAAGGTAAATTTACAGTAATTGCGAACCAAATAGCAGTAATAATAATTATAATAGCAGTTTTATAAAATAATAGCAGTTCATTTCATCTAAAAAAATTCATCTAAAAAATCACTTCTATTATCATTTCCTTTTATTACTTGCGCTAAATGAATGCAGTACTGGGTCTAATACTTATATGTAATAGTATTTGTAATACAAAATTGAGCATACTTGTGCGTTCACAAAACTTACACAGCGCTTAAATAAGCGCTTTTTCTAAAATTTAAACTGGAATTAAAGTGCTTTTGTTTTCGCCATGTTTCGGCTACATTTCTTACTGGAGTCGGCAATATTGCGTTCATTTGTGATGTTATTAACTAAGAAATAAATTCCGGTCTGGAGTTACCTTAAACTAGCGATAACAGTCGGTATACCTTTTTGTTCATAATCTGCGAAATAAGATAAGTAAATTCATGCAGTTTTCTTCTGGTTCACCTTTGCGCTTGAAAACGGTATCGAACAATCCAGCCGGCCGCCCGGCGTATTTATCATCGTTGAGCATTTGTTTGATGATTTCGTAGTTGCTGACAAATACATTTGCCCGGGGACCAAAATACAGTGTGCACATGCCATTGTCGCCGTATTTATCGGTCAGCTGAGTTAAATGTTCCAGCATATCGTTCCCTTCGCCCTTGACGCGATCTAAATTGCCGATTACTGGTGTGCCTGCAGGGATAACAAACGTGCAGTTAAATTAACATTAGTGAATTACTGTAATTTAAATAGAATTTTGAAAAAGGTTCAAATAAATCTTTATGCAAATTTGTAACAGAAACAAAAATTATAATGCTACGTAGCTGTATCCCAATACTACGAGTACATCTAATAGCACGATACATTGATAAACAACGACGATGATTGACTGAATTTAGAAATAATGTTTGATTGAATTTATAAATACAGTAATTATGCGTACATGGTGGACTGGGCGGAAGCTTAGCCAACTTTTTCGGTCTGAAGATCCATGCCAAGACAATTAATAATAAACCGAGAACAACAGTTACAGGAGACAGAAGCTGTAACATGTTGTTGAGATTAAAATAAGTTCTTATTCAAAAACCGGTGATCACGGATCACTTACCAACACTGCACATAAAAAAATGCTGTGTACTGTACTAGTATCGTCTACTGGTATAAATACTGTCAAAAAATTTTCAGTTGTGCGCGTGAATATGGATCTGCAATCTGAGTTGGCAAAATTTCTATGGTCCAGATCACTGCCGCTACCTATCGTAATCATTCGACCCTAGACAGCACTACAGTACGAGCATGAATGATTTTTAAGCGGAAACCCGTAACTCGCGCGTCGTGTAATTAAAATTAATACTCGTACAAACGAGTAATACGTGCAAACGAGTATGACTTTGACCCTGAAAATGTTGGTGTTTCTATGCGTACCTATGTATTTCGGTGCGTACGTTGCACACATATGCCGTAATATGCCGGCACGCAAAGTAATCGCTACAACAACCGAAGTCGGTGAAAACCGAGTGTTATTGCCACTTTTCGCTTACATTCATATCGTTTAGATTAGAAAACAAATAATTATTTATTTTATTTGCATCGCTGTCAGAAGAGTCTATCGGACTAGTTTCATATAGCGGCATATTATCAACCACATGAGCAGAGCGAATAATCATGAAAATTCTGCGCGTACCTAAAAACTGCAGTTGGTAACCATATAGAATAAATAAATTTTTTTAAAACGTTGCCTAAAAGCATTAGGGAACTTGGGATATGTTGCAAGTCAGTTATCGAAGTCCATCCATAAAATTGTAACACAGTCGCAATTTACAGACCTTTTGTGTCATTGTTGCAGCAAGTACGGATTATGAAAGTCATATGAGAGATATTAGCATAATTCACAAGTCCTCAACCCAAAGGAGCCGCGATTTGTTGTCGTCAGTGGCGGCGGAGAGCGGTAGTTTGGCTTGTTTGTAGTAATACCAGTGGTAGTAATAGTAGTGGCACCGCTAGTGGCACCAGAGATGGTACCGGGTGTGGTACCGGTAGTATTACTAATGGTGATACCGGTGGCGGTGGTGCCAGTGACTTTACCGGTTGTGGTATCGGCGGTGGTGTTTGTGATGGTGGTATCTGTGGTGACACGTCCGCAGTGCGAAACCGTCACCGCACTGACCTGGTCAATTGGTTTGATCAACTGCTTGTCATCCGTGCACACAGGGCATTCTGACCTTTCGGTTGTCGGCTGGCAGAGAACATTCTTAGCCGCTTGGTGAATATCGCTGCCGTTGCTCACCCACTTCACCAAAAACGCATTGCCACACGACCGACATTGTAAACGTGGATTGTTATGCAGCAGCAGTTTCTCCAGCGTTTTCATGCCCAACGACCGTTGAAATGCTGCACCGGTGTCGTTGGGGAAGACCGTCAGGTCATTGTTGGAAAGGTCCACAATCTTAAGTTTTCTGGAAACGTTCAGGCTGCTGGAGAAGATCTTCAGCGATTCGGATTTCAAATTCATTCGAGAGAGATTGGCGACTTCCAACTGCGGAAATTTGTGTAGTTCAATGACCTTTCCATCAGGGATGACCTGCCCACTGAGGTTAAGGGAAACCACTCCGGGTTGGAGACGCGCGATGACATTGCGCGTCCACAACGATGGAATGGTCGCCGGCACCGAGAGCGACATGTCCAGATTTCGCACCGTCAGGTTGGCAAACACGTCCGCACCGAGAAAGTCCATTTGACTGTTGCCGGATAAATTAAGTGTATGCAAGTGTTCTACAAAAGCAAACGCATGGTTGGAGATGTTCAGAAATCGGTTTCGGGATAAATCCAAGTGCTTTAAATTAGTGAACATGGAGAAGTGGTAGGGCCGTAAGCGTGAAATATTGCAATCGGCCCAAATAATAGTATGGATGTTGCGAAATGGCATGTCGTAACTGGTGTCACCAATCAAAAGATTCCAAAAGTCTGTCCACAAATTCCACTTTGTTAGATTGTTCCCCGACATGTCAAGGTATTGAAGCTTGGGAAAAAATTTCCAGAAATGAAAGGGGATGGCTGTCGCTGTAAATTTAGAAACAGAAAGTAGGTCCTTATTAGTCTTCATATGTACTGTATATGCACAGCATGTTTGAATATGAATTCTTTTACAAAATTAATAGAAGCAGATGTACACATTATTCCGTCAAAATGTAACCTTAACAAAACCGCTTGAAAATGCGTTCTACAGGCTGCACATTACATAATATCTTACCGTTGCAACGGTTGTCGTGCAAGTCAAGAATCTCCACGTGCTCCAGTAACTCGCTCACGAAATGCTGACAAATGCGGTTATGACGTAAGGACAGCTTTTTCAGTTGTGGACTCATTTCCGCCCACTGCGTATAATTCATACCCGTCAGGTTATTTCTGTGAAGGTATGCTTCTTGCAGTTTTGGGAGCAAACGAAACGTAGGAATGCGATGCATCATCCGTTCAATATTGTAAACGCGTGTAAGATTTAACAGGAGCAGGCTGTTAGCAATGGGGAGGAGCGTGCGCTGCTGTAATCCTAATTCTCCAAAATCAGCGATATGCAGCTCCCGCAGATTGGTCAGTCCATCGAAAGCTTCATGCGGCAACAACATAAGGTAATCGCGGTGACGCTGGGCGTCCGTGATATTGTTGATGATGCGCAAGGAGGTCACATTGGCAAGACTTGCATTTGCAAACCAGTGATACACATCTGGCCGGCCGGATGCGGAGGGGCCACTCCATCCCAGCTCGGAGAATTCGATTATGGATTCCCAGCGCTCTGTGGTCCTATTCCCATCGTAGTTAACATAACAGACCATTTCGCCATTGGCATACTGGCATGCGGTACAAAAGGTCACGTTACAATGCATCCACAACAAGAACGTTATCAAGGCCTTATAGAGAGACATGCTGCACACTCCGATAATGCTGCTGAAGTGGTTACAGTTTTTCCCGCCTTGTCCAGTTCGGCGCTACGAATGTAGGAATATCCACAGTCCGATACTGTGTGGCAGCAGCATACGCGTCGCAAAAGTTATGGAGGACCAAACTACGCCACTACAGCCAATTAAGTAGTACGTACTATCTAATAGTTAGGATGAGATGCGTCGAATTTACTGTACAGTATATTCAACATGTGTTGCGGACAATATGAATGTTTTACACGTAACAACAATTCAAAACCGATTGATTCGTACATGGGAAACAACGCATTATTGTGTATAAGGACGCGCTAACAATTCTGCTATGGAATGAAAAGCGGAGCCGGCGTTTACTCACACATTCGTATTGCACTGCTAGAGCAGCCATTCGAAGTTGCTAACCATATGCAAACCATATATGCAAACCATACTGCGTATGCAAACGTATGCAAACCATACTGCGTATGAATTCCAATGAACATTACATTGTACTAGTCACTTAACAATATATCATTTAAGCATTCACTAATCGCATGTTAAACATTCTAGTATAGTGACCCTGTAACTGCAAATTCGTAAGTCAATAAATATGCAATCACAACGAAAACACAACAGCAAAATTACAACAAAAACACTTCAGATAAGCCGTCGGTGTCCGGTAAGGTGCCCATAACGCGAAGAGCGTTTCCTCTTTGAATCTGTATGGACAGTCGCTGTCGGAAAATTTATTAAAACTATAATATAACGATGCACGAACATCAGTCTATGCGAGAATTCGGCACACAAAACCGAGTAGACATAAATTTCCTGACGACAGGTAAAGGGTTGAGAAAATCTCACCGCTGTACTATGGTATTTATAATCAGCCTAAACAGTATTTGTGTTAAAATTCAACTGTTAAAATTCAATCATTTTATTTAGTTTAAATTTGCGCAGGCTTGTTGTCATTGAGTACTGGCTGTTGCCGAATAAAACTCAAAATATTTGTGTTGAGGAAAAATCGGTAACAGCTTATTTATTGTTTTCATCAACGGATTCCCGTTAAGTTTATTTGATTTAATTTGTTTGATTCGCTCCGTGTATTATTTTCTAAATAAAGACCGACATCTCGCACATCTACCACAATTACACATTTACCGCAGACATCTGATGATCTATTAAATCTGTCCACTATATGACTTTGCACATTTTACAAAACTGCTGACCATAAACATTTTTATTTGATTCGACAAGCAGGCTGTACTTTGCTATCGCCGTTAACTACAAACTCATCCAGCTTGTGTACACAAAATGTGTACTTTGACATGACTGCAAAACTTTAAATTTTCGAGGTGAAATCGTAACATTGCTCTATAAAGCGGACTGATAAGCCTCTATACAAGAAAGTTGCGATCATCTACCTTCCAACTTTCTGTAATGTTACAGTGAAATGATATCGGGCTCTTATCATATGTATTCCTTCCTTTATATTGCTGCCACTTGCTTAATGCAAATTTACCGGTGTATGGTAGCTGCACAACCACAGCCGTTACTCGTTAGTATATAACCTGACGGCGGAATACACCCCATCAACAGCTGTGTGTGCTTCCGAAACGTTTAATTACTTTCTACTTGCGTGTTATTTTAAAGCGGTTGACTACTGTAGTCGTTTTCAGTGAAATGGCCGACGCGTCCGAAGGATGCTCATGCTCAGTCGGTGTGATACTAGCATCGGTTGCTGCATTGTTAATAACGTTATGGATTTTCATTCGTCCTAAACGCTCGAAAACCCTTCCACCGGGACCACCAAGTTAGTGAATGTTAATTAGCTTGCACTTAATTATAAATACACAGTGGCTTAATTTTAATAAATTCTCTTGACATGCAGTTGCTTAATCGCCGGATGCGTTTAATTTCGACGCATGTGAATAACCTGCAGCACAAATTTAATTCTTGTGTGATAATTTTTGTAATTTTAGCAAAACCTCTTATTGGCAACATGGACATATTTCTCAAGGGCGACGGCTTTCAAAGACTGGAAAGTATAAAGAAAGTAACGGAAGAATATGGCAAAGATGGGATGTGCACGCTTTACGTCGGCCATAGACCGAATGTTATGGTCAGCGATTATGAACTGATAAAAAAATTGACCAATGATGAGAAATTCACCGGTCGCCCACGTGGCATGCAAGACATCCATTTTCGACGCAAAGGTAAGCATTATTATGGACATTTTAAAAATAAATTATTGTTATATCCCAGCTTGAGGGCGCGAAAAACGTCAACGAAAATTTACAGGAAATACTAAGGAAATTTTCTAAAAGCGAACGTTCTGCGACTGTTTAAACAGAGATTACATACAAAATTATGTACTGTAACTTCCATAATCCTCCCTCTCTAAAGTTCTAAACTAATTAATTTTCTGTTTTGAATAAGATGACGGTATTAATAACGGACAAATTGTTATAAACTTTGGAATCATATCTTTAATTGTGACCGTATCGAAAAATATGCTATGGTTCCCTTCACCCTACTCCGCCAGAACTATTTGGCACTACAAACAAATCTAAAAAAAATGCCTTAAATGCTTATGATTTTTAGGGTTACTGTTTACGGAAGGCGAACTCTGGAAAGAACAACGTCGCTTCGCATTAACCACCCTCCGCGACTTCGGGATGGGCAAAACCTGGCTGCAGGATCTCATCATCGAAGAAGCCCAAGAACTGATTAATGATTTGGAAGCCGTTAGAGAACGTCCCGTTAATCCCAATAACTACCTGACGCCCAGTGTCGCCAACGTCATCTGTGCCATTTCCTACGGCGAGCGCTTCAGTCATAAGGATGAGAACTTTCGCCGCCTGACCACGCTGATTGGCCAGAATGTGACGCTGGCCGCCAAAATGCAGGCCATGCAGGTGTACCCGTGGCTCCGCTGGATTCCCTTCACTCGGCTCCGCCAGAACTATTTGGCACTACAAAAAAATCTAAAGGATGTCGGAGTGTTCCTGAGAAGGCTGATTACCGAACATAAGAACAATCTGGAAGGGGAACCAAGAGATTATATTCACGCTTTTCTGTTGGAAGCAGACCGACAAAAAACAAAACCCACAACAACGTTTACCGGTAAATAATGTAACCGAAAATGTCATATTAATACATCTTTATTGAACCTTTCGGCTGGGGTAGTTCCGTGTGGACGTCAACCGATTTTTTCGGCGTATTTTTCAGCTTTAACTCTTTCGCATCTTCTTCAGATGAGCAGCTGGAAAAAGCAGTATTTAATTTATTCGGCGCTGGTACGGAAACAACTTCCACTACTTTAACATGGGCCATCATTTTTCTTCTTGAGAACCCGGAAGTGTACAAAAAGGTTCAAGCGGAAGTCGATAAGGTCGTACCAGATGGTGGATTTCCCAATTTGGAAGAGAAAGGTTAACAAGCGTAAACATGTTAATTTTGTTTATAGTCTTAACTAACGTAATTATTAACTGTGTGTTATTAATTACTGTAATACCAATCCTGATTATGGTTTGCAGAAAGTATGCCGTATTTGCAAGCAGTTATCCAGGAAGTTCAGCGGTTGGCTAATCTCGTTCCATTCCCAATACGCACAACCACCGAGGAAGCCCAGTTAGGCAATTATCATTTGCCAGCCGGCACCATGGTTTCTCCTAATCTGTATGCCGTACACAAAGATCCCAAATATTTTCCTAATCCGGAGAAATTCGATCCTCAACGCTTCTTGGACGAGAAAGGACAGATCAAGAAAGTCGACGGATTCTTCCCATTTTCTATTGGTTAGTGCTGTTTACAAGTCGGAGTTAAATAAGTAGTATGCAGTTTACACAAACAGTTTAATTATCAACAGTATCATTAATTTTGGAGCGAATAATTATTTCCCGTTGACGATACTAAATGCTTCGCATTTTGTTTAATTACAGTACGTTTGTATAGACTATAATATTGTAAATGTGCATCCAGGTAAACGCTTCTGCCTGGGTGAATCATTGGCCAAAATGGAGCTGTACATCTTCTTCGCAAGTCTGCTGAAACATTTCAACTTCGAACTGGCACCAGGAGAAACTATTTCCAGTCGGAAGTCCATCTTTGGCATCGTTAATGCACCGGTTCCGTACAAGATAATTTTTAAACGGCGGAACAACTGAGAAGCTTGGAAGTAAAAAGCGTCAACGGATGAAAGGGGCCACCGAGTTTAATTTGAGAGGCAGTGCATTTATCGCAAGCCCGTAAATACTGATGTCAAGCCTGGTGTGACAGTTTTCTGCATTTGCCGATTTTTTTGCGAGCTTTATCGCATCGTATACCGTATGCATTATACATACTATGTCCACGATGAACATAAAGGTCGGAGATGTCTTTAATTAACCTCATCTACTGTTAAAAAAGTATTATGTTTTAAGTAACAAGAAAGTTCTAAAAGAAACCGGTTATTTGGATTTTTCTATTTGGTTTAAACGTCGCAGTTAATGAGAGCTTTTCAGCTCTTCTTCGAGGATGTGTCAGTATCCGTCATTAAAGCTTTCCAGAACTTCCGTCAGATTAGTAAAGCCATCCATCCTCAGCCCACATGGCCGGTGTGTGTCTTGACCTTTCTCCCTAATCCACTTGTTGGACACCCATTTGATACCAGACAAAACCGGGCATCCAGCATGCAGTGTCCGCACATCCGGCGAGACATCTTTAAACTTATTAAACCAAAACGCCGCGGTGCCCTTTTCCGGAAACAGGGTCAAGTTTATCCGGGGAAAACGGTGGCGCCACCGGCTTCTACATCGGTCATGTAGGCCAGGAATGTGGCAATGCGATCGCCCCATATCGAGTGATTATTCATAGGCCCCACTAAATTGGGCATATCGTGCGGATTGGTGAAGAAATCATAGTGCGGAGAATAATGACCGCCAATGCCATAATTGTTTATCTGCAATTCTTCAGCGATATTCATGTCTAGGTTGGTAGCGTGGCCGATGTACCGGTTGATTTGAGGAATGACCGGGTCCACGTTTTCATTCAAAAAAGCGCTATAAAAAGCAAAAGTGTCATCATTTTTTTCATTTTCTATCTCGTGTCAAATCAGAATAGTCTAATTTTAGGAGTGCAAGATTGTTAAAGTAATTTTTATATATCCAAAACGTATAAATAAATAATAATTAACGTTGATAAAATAATATGAGACAATAATAACACACAATAAATTCAGATCTACGCACATTTTTGCGGTTCTGTATTTTGAAACGATCCCATTTGAATCGGCTCCTTGGTCCATAACTCGACCGCGAACCAAATGCTTGTGGCCGATTTCGCGCAGTCGATCAGCCTGGGATTTTAGAAAACGTTATGCAACACCAAGATTTCCGGATCGTCGTACACCTTCTCCACCTTAACCGGCTGAATCAGCAAATAGGGGTTCCCATGCGTCTGATAGTAGCATTTTAGTCTGTGATTTACTGATGGATCCTGGTCACAAAATCAAACAGAAATGTTAACACATGTACTGGTACATCAGTCGCACTAAAGTGTCTTATGTTTTTCTTACCATTCGCTGCTCTCCGCGACACAACGCTTCGTATGCTTCGTCGGTGACATTGATATAGTCCAACGATTCCGTACTAAACGCCACCGTCGAATTTGGCGCATTTTGAAAATCCGTGATTTCTTTATCCGTCAAGTTCGCAATCACCCCTTCATAAACGCCAATGTTGACATCCACCGTAGGATACGTTGGTTCAATATCCTTTATCATGTGGACCAACTCCAACGCACGCACTGCGTTGCCGGTATCATGGTACATGGAATGCTGCAGCCAATCTAGGATCTCCGCCAGATCCGCGGTTTTCTCATCCTCCGCTTCCTCACTGTAAATTTCTAACGCTGCCTCCAACCAGGCGGCAGCTGAATTATAATACTCATTGGTCGCCTGATTATGCCCGATCATGAAGGCTTCTTCGGATGTAAAGGGCATCGTGCGGCGGGTGCCGGGAATACGTCCCCGGGCAATATCCTGAGGGTGGATTTTGTAGACTAGTTGTAAGCGAGCAAAAGCATCCGCGTTGCCCTCAATGTCTGATTTATCCGGGAAGATCCGGGTTAAACGCAATTTGTTGATAGACTGATTGCGTTCTGCAAAACGGGAATAGGCATTTCGAAAACAACGTTAACTGTTGTATGTCGTTTATTCATATTGCATGAGCATACCGGTAAACACATCAGCCGAAGTCAGATCAAGGGCGAAATTCAAGTCGGTCCAGTGGTTCTTTAAGCGCTGGAACATTCTCACCGGATTAAACGCTGATTCATCGTCACCTCGCGTGCTCAAACCATCTTTCCCGAAATTTTTTAGGTGTTTTGTTACGCTTCAAAAACAAGCCTACTTAGCGCAAGGTTATAACAACGCAGTGTATAAATACAAGGTGCAACATACTACTTGATCATATCTAGTTTTATATATGTATATGTGTCCAATTTAAAATTCGATTACGTACTTCTACAACCGATAAATTTTCTCACCGGTTGGCTTCGGTAAGTTTCAATCGTTCCAGTCGCAATAACTGCTGCAGAATATCCAATACCAGCTTTTCCGTGGTAATTAATGTTTCCACGTCAGCCATAGAAGCAAACACTTCGGCTGAAACTTGCGGCCATAAAGTACCATATAGAACAGCTGTAGCGCTGTAGAATAATGGAAACATCAACATGGCTTTTGTTGTTTTGCACTGCCAGTAGTAATATCGCGCACTAGCAGTATTGTTGCTGTATCGAGATTAATATCAACATTTTAGTCAAAATCTAATTTAGAATATTGTACAATCGTCAAAGTACAATTTACTCATACTTGTACAAGCATGTAAGCAGAAAATTAATACTGTTGTAAAAGCACGGAGGACTGCATCATTAACTGTGGTTGTTTGCTTGGTTTTGTTTACACAATATATGTACGAGTATTATAGAGGTACCGCACAAAAATGTTTCACAAGCAGCTCGTTAACCGCGTATGATTCGACCATACTAATATGTTGTGCGTCCACACAAAGCGCCCGCGGTGCCTGGCTAGATCTAGATGCAGTTAGAGTCTGTTGTATTTATGAATTAACAAATCATTGTAAAAGCAAGAACAAACCCCGCACTCAATAACGAGCATTAATAAAATGGTAGTTACAGCAAGATACCTAAGCGGTTCCTACTTCCTGGTGCTACTGTAATTATACCACCATATTCCGCTTCCAAATGAGCATGGCCATGCACGCATAGACACTTTTTGCTTTGTAACCCGCATATTAAATAATTTTGTGACAAAAGTTGTGATACTTATACATATTATAGATAAATTTATCAAAATTATCAAATCAACCATTATAACAATAATTTTTTGCCGCATAATAATTTTTATAAAGCGTAAAATAAGCGCTTTTCGCTTGGTTTTCCTTTGCATTAACGTCCTGCTGCACACTTCCTGGACAGAAATACTCTGTTGTATGTATCTCGGCGCTTCCATTTATATATTCCCGCTAATACCCGTAGATACTAAACAGTATAATTATATTGCGCGTAATACCCATACAAATTTAAAGTCTATTATATAGACGTATGCTTGGAGCATATTTGCCCTTAGTTGCACAAATCCAGAATTCTGCCGCTTAAAATCTTGCAGAGTTTAATACGCATGATAATACTTTCCAGGGCTCCGCTTGAACAAATTAATCGTGGGAAGTGAGTCCGGCAAATCACAATCACCTAATCATGACGTATTAACATCCAAAACAGTCAAATATTCATAACCGGCTTTTCCCTTAATTGAAAACTGTATGTGGGTAGGATGATATTAATTTAATTTTGGTTAGATCCCCGCCGTTTTAACAGCGAGTGCCTGCCATATTACCGTCGGGATAAAAATGTTCTCCATACGCGGTGTCGTGATGTTTAAACTTGCTGGAGATATTGATCCACCAGTGTCCTGATAAAAGTACGTAATTGTAATAATCCCACAATTAAACGGCGTCACATGTCTGCAACCGTTTGATTCATTTCCGGTCACCGTAAATACGAGTACATTGTCTTTTTTGAGCGATCGAAATGCTCTGTATTGTTACCTCCACCGCGTACGTATTCATGCTTTGATCCGTTATTCGGCTTGTGTTGTTTATTTTATTTTGAAACTATATATACGTATACATAAGCTTTTATACCGGTTACGGCCGACCACGAGATGCCACTTAGCATCGATCTCTGCAAACAGTTCTGCTTTTATTTTCATCCATCTGCTTGCCGGCGTCCTATCTATTGCAAAACCTGCATAACAAATCGCGTTTTTTGGAGTTCTCTTGCAAATCTGTATAAAGTTATGAATTTTGCTTCCTTTTGACGAATCACGGTTTTTTATCAAGGCAGTATTGGTTTTGTTTTCGATGTCCCTAAACTGCTGGTTGCCATAAGGTGGTAGTGGTCGTAGCTGCAGGTAGCTGTGTGCCGATATGAACTGATATTATTTTGGTAGAACACCCAAAAGTAAAACCGTATTTAAACTGAAAACCTGCTTAAATGCCAAATAATACCACCGTTGCGGAATGGGACCTTATTCCCGCCGTCGAAGTTGTCGTATGTCCTTGGGTCATCGTCTCAAACACAGTGGTTTTATCGGTATTCATTAAAAACCGCCGCATGCATGTCCCCTTCAACGTGTATTTATTTAGTTTATTAATCGCTAATATCTGCTTGGCAATACTCGGTAATCCCTTGGATATTGTGAATTTCATTTTTCCAACATGGTGGCTCGGACAAATCGCATGTGATGTCTATCTATACGCGCTGTATGTTATGAGCGGCTTGACGGTCAACTCGCACGCCCTGATCACTATCAACCGCTTATGGGCCATGACCTTTCCACACTTCTACAAGCAGTACCATTCCAGCCGCTCAGCGGCGTTCCTTTGCGGACTGGTATGGATCGCCGTGCATGCCATAATCCTCCCCGGGGTGATTTTGAACGCCCGCGTTTACCGGCTACCCATTGAGACCGCCGGATGTGTGATTAATACCAATGCTATGCCGGTATGGAATACTGTCGTCCAGTTTGGTGTGTTCATTGTACCGAATATCTTTGTTATGCTGGCATATCCCTATATCCTGTGGATGCGTCGGAGGCGCCGGTTAGTGCGGATCACTAATCGCCACGTGAGTATTCTCCAGCCGTCGACTACCACCGCGGTGAGCAAGAGCACCAAGGAAAGCCGCGCGTTTATCGTGCTGACGGTGATGACGGCGAGTGTGACGGTGTCTTGGACGCCGCTGAATGCGTATTACGGGATGGGATGTTTTATGGATGTCAGCCAACTGTGGTTGACGTTCGAGATAACGCAAGGACTTTTTATATTGCAACCGGCACTGGACCCGATATTTTTTGCTGTAACCCTACCGGAGCTTCGTCAAGGACTGGCTGATTTCGTGCAGACAGCTTTCCGTAAATGGCGGATGTGCAAAAAGGTTTTGATTTAGATTAATTTGTAGCCGTTCATATTTTTTACGGTGAGCCAAATACATTGTGAACTGTATGTACGTACGTAGGCTCTATGATTTTGAACTGCACAGTGCACCGATACGATGACTCTGTGCCATTACTGGGACGCTGCATTTCGAAAAGATTTCTATGACCTTCAAAAAACGTACAGTTAAATTGTTAACTATTGTAATGCCAAGCAGGACATTAATAATTAACTGCCTAACGGAATTAAAGAAACTTAAGCAAATTCGTAGTTGTTGGTTGGCGCATATACAGAATGCTTTATGCAGGATATATCTGTATCTGTATAAACACTGTGGGATACAGTTCCATTTTAATAGCTTTGTTTACCCTGGGAATGCTCCGTGTGCTTTCATGCCAGCGGATCCAAACGCAGTAGAGTTTACAAAACCGACGAAGACAACAATATTTTTTTATAAAACAAAAATTAGGACAGAAAAGTTTCAAATTAAAATGCCTAGAGTACCTGCAGTGGCTCTTGAAGTGTCAACACACCATCAAGATCGCCGAACCCATCTCGTTGCAGTCCACACGGCCGCCTACGATCCTGGCCTCTTTCCCGAAACCACTTATTAGACACCCACTTGTTACCGGATAACACCGGACAGCCGGCATGCAGCGTTCGCCAGTCGGGAAAACCATCCTTGAATTTATTGTACCAAAATGCCGCTGAACCCTTCTCCGGAAATAGCGTTAGATTTAGCAGTGGGAATACCGTCGCCCCACCAGCTTCTACATTGGTCATGTAGATTAACAGTGTCGCTATCCGGTCACCCCATTCCTCGTCTGTTACCGCATCTGGATTCTTAATATTCCCGAAATAATCGTGATGGGGCGCAAAGTGACCCCCAATACCGTAATTGTTGACCTGTAGGTCTTCGGCTACAGCGTGATCGAGATTCGTTGCGTAACCGATGTAGCGGTTAACGGTCGGAATAACCGGATCGAGCGCCGGATCCAGAAATGCTCTAAGAATAATTCCATTGTACATGACCGACGGAAACTGTGAAATCTGAATCGTACAATGTTGTGCATGTATCGTATCAAGTACTTACTATAGTGTGAGATATAGTAAGTTCTTGATCGCATACATATTAACAAACTGTAAGTTCTAGCTATAGTAAGTTCTTGATCGTATACATATTAACAAACTGCGCTCACATTTTGGCGATCCTGTCTTTAGTAACAAGAGCATTCTCGAATTCCGTTCCGTTTGGATTGTTCTCATCCACAATTCGGCCACGAACCAAATGGTGATATCCGATTTCTCGAAGGCGTATTATTTGCGAATCCAAAATGATATCGTGCAGAATTAGAATTTCCGGATCAATATAGACCTTCTCGACTTTGATTGGCTGAATAAGTAGATAGGGATCTCCGTGTGTTTGATAAAAACAGTTTAATTTCCTCTTATCCAGCGCATGCTATGAGCATAGCAATTTTACATTAAGGAAAGGAAAACTTGATGGGAAACTAACCCCGATAACAAATTAATAGAACTTCCGCAAAAGCTTGCAGTGCGTACTTAAATCTCCGACATCTCCGAAATCTCGTATCAATTAATGCAAACCGCTGAAGGTTGGAATATGTACACAAATTGCCCACTGCACGAACAATTTTGCTTACCATGCGCTTTTCACCCCGACATAACGCACCGTATGCTTGTGTGTCAGGAAATTCAGGATCTTCGATAACTGCGGCGATGTCGCTGTTATACGCTTGCGTAGCAGTTGGCGCAATGTACATCTGGAATATCTGTCCGCTTTTTAACCTTCGAATGTGCTCGAAATAATGCGTGAATTTTTTCTCCAGCCCGGGATAATCTGGCTGAATCTCATGGATCTTCTGTAGAATCTCCCGTGCCCTGACGACATTGTTGGTCTCATGGTAAACAGCATACTGCAACCAGTGGAGCACATCAGAAATTTGGGCAGTTTTGGTCTTTTCGTTCCGATGAATTTCTAAAGCCATTTCCAGCCATGCTGAGCCTGAGTTGAACAATTTATTCTTGATTTGATTGTAGCCAATGATCGCCGCTTCCTCCGATGTGAACGGCATCGTGCGCCGCGTCTCGGGAATTCGACCTTTGGCAATATCACGTGGATGCAGTTTGTATATCATCTGCAGCATGGCAAAAGCATCCGCTATGCCTTCCATATCGGTCTTATCGGGAAATGCACGCGATATTCGCAAGCCGAGAATGGAGCGATTTTGTTCTGGAATAAGCAAAACTAATAGATGCTATAGTAAAGTTTTTCCGAGTCGCGAACATACTGCCAGCATCGCTTAAACGCTGGGTTAAAACATTTATATCAGTTTTGTATTGCTATACGTCAGTAACCGGATGTCGTGCATACAAACGGTTTTTAGGCTAATGTATTTTGTAAGTACTGTACTTTGGCTTAAGTATGGCACGAAGCAATAGCAAAAGATGTCTTGAACTGCGTGAAAGTAAAGGTTTTACTGGATGTACACAACACTGGTACCATGTGCCAGGGCATTTCCTTTAAAAGAAGCAACCCGGCCGGTACTGGATACCTTCTTCGTTTAGATGTGCAGGAACTCTCGTTTCCGGCACTCAAAACCCCTTTTTCCAGTGATTTGTGATAGGAGAATATTGTATGTAGCCAAAAGCTTCTTATACATTCGCATGAAAACCGCTTATGCGCGCGACATCCGGGCGTTGAGACTTACAGTATTGACATGCTATGCGGAAGTCGCACCGCGACAACCGCACTAGATGACCAAACCTACTCAATCGGTAGAGTGGGAATATGCTCTGGACTCCGTAAGTGGTACTACTGCCTACTTCCGCTAGGTACGAGCGGATTGCTGTGCCTAACGAAAGTTACCGAAACCAAAACACTCAGGAACTTCCCAAATGTTTAATCACCAAACCAAACGAACGAACAGAACAGAACAGAACGAGATATGAACTTCCTTCTAGCCTAGAGTCACACGACCTTTCAGCTAGAAACAAGCTCACAGATTTAGTTGAAGTTAGAAACTTCAGACTGATTCATTAAACCAGAATCGTGGATGGAATTAGCGATCAAATGCGTTAGATAAGAACAGCACATCGTACGAAACGGAACAGACAACACGTACGTCGTAACACGTACGTACGTAATACGCGCAATCTATGCATAGCGCGTTAGTATGTGTGAAATCAGATTCCAAAAGGTTTAAACGCAAACAGGTCTGCGAGTACCAGAAGACTGATGTTACTGAAAACGCACTTTGATGAAGATCGTTTTGACACATACCCAGTCATTTTTTTCGAATTTCAAAACGAATGTGAAAAAAGGTAAGCAAAATCTGCAAACATGTTTTAAAGTGCGCGAAAGGAAAGACCCTGTGCATCAGGGCGTCTATACGGCTGCACGCATGATTGGTTATACCGTTTTATGCACCGGATCACCTCCCAGAATAAAAGTACTACTCAACATTCATTTTGGTACATTCGTGCTTTATTACGGCGTACCTATGTAACTTACACCCACCAGCGAATGTCTCCTGTGAAAGCACATCAGTAATGTTGTTGAAAATGTCCACACGGTGTTTCAGGCATTGGTCTATCTTTATCCGATGCAAGTGCGACTCCTCTGATTTTGCCTGGGCCAAGTCTCGCACAAGTTCACGATAACTATGTAGTTGAAGCACACGTTAAAATTCCGAAATACGATCCGGAATTCGCCTGGTTTGGATTTCGGATAATAATCTTTACCTTAGTTAGCTATCCTAAAGTGCTTACCCTTGGGCTTTGGTCAGCCGCAATTTCTCTTGGTGTAAATGGTTTTTGAGGACATCTAGAAGCATTTTCTCCGTTGTTATAAGTGTTTCCACTTCCGCCATGGAAAGAAAAACCTCGGCCAGAACATTGTAACTGGACAGTGCAAAAAATCCCCAGAGAATACTGGATACTAGCATTGCACAAACGCTTCAAAGGTCTATGAGCAGTTGAGCACCGTAATAAATAAAGGTTTTGAGTCTTCTCAAAATTTTTATGAGCCGGGTTACCAATAATAATTTATTAAATTGTCGTAGTATTTCCTGGTTAGAAATATGCTTCTATACAGATTGATACTGTCTTACAAAGGTAAACACAAGGAGCGGTATGTCTAAACTCTACACCATTTCTACCAGTATCCTGCCGTTTCTTATAAATAAGTGCGCACTGTGTACCATTATGATACAAAAAAATATTTTGATCATAGTTTCATGTCTCAGCCAACAAGCGGCAAATACCAGACTGTTACCAAGCTTTGTTTACCTGACTCATAGAACGTTAGTTCTGCCGCTATATCCATGCCGCCCGAGGTAAGGTGTTAATAATACAAGTTTGCGCCGATTCGTGAATCATGAGTACATATACCACGTGCGAAGAGAAAACCAGACTTCGCAACGCCGGCTTCCCGTGCAGCGGCCTTGGAATGATCAACATTAGTGTTCCAGCAAATCGGGAAAGCGGTGGTTTAACTTCACCAGCCGTCCAACTCATATCGTGTACAACAGATAATTACGCCATCGCCTCACTCGCTTGTGAAGGTACATACAAATAAAAGGACTATTCTGACTCAGTGCCGGCGCTCTGTGATGTCAATTCTGCGCATCTACTGAACAGTGTTGCGTTGTATGACACATTGCAACCCATCTTTGAAGTCTGAATTTAGGTTTAATTATTTAGCGTCCGCACACAATCTGGGCTAAGCCGCAAATTGGGGTACACAGTTTTTAAATGGGGGCACAAACTGCATAACCAAAAAACCGAAACTTATTTTGTGCGAAAGTCAGCGTACGTTTTCGGTCCGCACCGAGTTGACGTAGTTTAAGGTGCGGTCAGTAAATTTATTGTATGCCATGGTATAGTCCAATTTATTAGGACAACCGGGTTCAATAACCATCATTGTACTCCTCAACAGCTTTGGTCACATTCACAACTCCGTCACGCTGCAATCCACACGGCCTCCGCCACTCCTGCCCTCTTTCTTTAAACCACTTATTTGACACCCATTTCATTCCCGACAATACAGGGCATCCTGAATGCAGGGTCCGTACATCTGGAGAACCATCCTTAAATTTGTTATACCAGAAGGCCGCGGTGCCCTTTTCCGGAACGAGCGTTAGATTCAGTCGCGGAAATACTGTTGCCCCGCCGGCGTCCACATCGGTCATATACAGGAGGCACGTTGCGATCCGGTCTCCATGCTCAAAAAAATACTTTCCGGGATCCCAGGGATTTTCAAAGAAGTCATAGTGCGGCACGTAATGGCCGCCGATACCATAGTTGTTGACCTGTAAATCTTCAGCGGTAGTAAGATCCAGGTTGGTGGCATGGCCAATGTAACGGTTCACTTCGGCAATAACCGGATCAAGTAGGTTCTCAAGAAAAGCCCTATAAAGAGCGCAATTTGAGACGCTAGACTTTGCAGTATTCGGTTTCTGCTCTTTTGTGAATGAGACAGTTACACTTTTGCAATTCTGTGCTGTGATACAACTCGATTCGTATTTCCATCGGCCATGACAAGACCGCGGGATAGATGTTCTTTTCCAAGTTCACGAATCCGTTGTGCCTGAGACGCAGAAAAAGCGTTATGTATTATCAGCACTTCGGGGTCGTCATAAGCCATCTCGATTCTGATTGGCTGAAGCAGTAAGTATGGATTTCCATAGGTTTTGAAATAGCACGTTAATCTCTTTTTTATTTCCGGCATCTGTGTATGAAAGCAAAAGAAGTAAACCTTGGTTGTGGTTCAACAAAAGAAATATATCGATGATATTTCGCCCATACTGTAAGCTTAGGATGAAGACGCATATTCCAGTTCACTCACAATTCTGTCTTTGCCCCTGCAGAGCGATTCATAAGCGTCAGATTTGCGATCCGAGGCCGCACTGCTGTATTCTTCGATTGCGCTGGGAGCATTGCGAAGCTGTCTGATTTGTTCGTGGCTTAATTCCCAAACTTTTGCTTCATACAGCTTGGCTTTCAACTCCAAGTTCGGGTAGCTAGGCTGGATAATTCTGATGTGTTGAATGATTTCCAGCGCTCTCACGGCATTTCCTGTATCTTCGTACATCGCATACTGTAACCAGTCAAGCACTTCTGCCAGATCACTGGTTTTTGGTTCTTCCTCATGATGCAGCTCAAGCGCAACTTCCAGCCACGCCGCGGCCGAATCGAAAAGGTTAATTTTTGCTTGGTACTGTCCGATGATGAATGCCTCTTGAGATGTGAACGGCATTGTAGTGCGGGTTCCTGGAATGTGACCTCTGGCTATATGTGGGGGATCCAGTTTGTATACTAGCTGCAGGCGGGCAAAAGCCTCTGCGCTGCCTTCCAGATCCTTCTCGTCAGGAAACACTTCGGAATCCCGGAGATTTTTGATTCGTTTCTTGTGTTCTGTGCACACAGAAAACAAGTAATTTTAATACGGAGTTTCAGTAGTTGTATTACTTGTATAGCATCCCGATTACCTAAAAAGACATCTTTCGCAATAAGATCACTGATGTAGCCGAAATCTCGTGTCAAGTGTTTTATCCTGCGGAACATTTTTGTTGGATTATCTTCTGTACTGTTGAAATTGTCTTCTGTCTCGCTTTTTAACACATTGTTGTACCTGAAAAGACAGTCGTGCTTCTGTCGTAGTACTTAAACCTGGAAACGTCGTTTGCTGTCAGTTTTGCACTATTTTAGCACATTTTTGACAAGAAGTCCACAATTATTCTGTAAACAGAATGATGACTTACGCTTTTGCTTCCGTCAGTCGTAGTCTTTCTTGGCGCATAAGGCTACCCAATATTTCCAGCAACAACTTCTCCGTTGCAAGCAGGGTCTCCATATGCGCCATGGAACTAAATAACTCGGCAGAGCTACTATGCCAAAATGTTAGGAAGACAAAACTTAGCATGATGTAAAGGCCTGAGGGTGTTGACATTTTCGTTGATTTTCTTTAGAGGCCACAACCATGCAAATCAGTCATGTGATTTTTGGAGCACCATCATAGAACCAGGATAGAGTTCATATATTGTACTGTATGTACCTGTAAGTTTCGGCTGTGTCACTGTGTGTAATGGATTTCGTCTGTCACCAACAACATACTAATAAACAATTTTTATGGATTGTATACCCATCGAGCATCGGCAACATGGTAAGCTCCAATCCGCACTGTACATCGGCACCTTAGTACTGTAGATTGAAACCGAACATACAATGCTGCAGTCGGCAGGAACCGCTTTATCACGAGCATGTCTGGCGGGCAGTAAATACCTGTTTACACTTGTAAATACTGCAATCAGAACGATTCCTGTTAGGCTTTAGTAAATTGCGCATGCACCACCAACAGCACTAAACAGATGTCTTATGTGCTTAGTGCGGCATGAAAAGCTCAACTGTCATAAAGACACACGGAATAAAACATTAAAAAATAACCGCCGCGCTTTATTTGGAACTTTCCAACTCTACATAACGCAGCCTGAAGCTGCATAACATCCTGATAAAACAGCAGTATCAGCAATAAATCTTTTCAATACAAAAAGAAAAATATCGACACAGAGAGATTAGTAACCATCGTTATACATCTCGGAAATCTCAGTAATATTGGCATATCCATCTGGACGTATGCCGCACGGTCTTCTCCACTCTTGGCCTCTTTCACGAAACCATTTATTCGACACCCACTTCATTCCCGACAGCACCGGACATCCAGCATGCAGCGTGCGTACATCCGCCGAACCATCGCGAAACTTGTTATACCAAAACGCCGCTGACCCTTTTTCCGGGACTAGAGTCAGGTTTAGACGGGGGAACACAGTCGCACCTCCTGCTTCGACATTGGTCATATAAATCAAACACGTGGCCACTCGATCGCCGTCTTTTTCATCGACTGCGTAGTCTTCGACATTGTAGATATTCTCAAAGAAGTCGAAATGTGGCGAGTAATGACCCCCGATACCGTAATTATTGACCTGCAGTTCTTCAGCTGTGCTGGGATCCAAATTAGTCGCATGGCCGATGTAGCGATTTATTTGACCAATTACCGGATCGAGGTCTTCAGGCAAGAAAGCGCTAAAGAAAAATCGCTTCACTTCGGATTCAGTTAAACCGCAATACTGCGACAAAATTTACCCAAAAACACGAGCGTTTATACCAGTAAAATGGTTAAGACGGTCTGCATCAAATGTGAACGAGTATTAACGGAGCAGTCTTACATTTTTGCTATCCTATGCTTCGAAGACGTTTTGTTCTTTCCGTCGGGTTCCATAACTTGACTTCGCAGTAGATGTTGATAGCCAACTTGCCTAACTCGCACAGCCTGGAAATCTAAGATAGCGTTGCGTATCACAACAATTTCCGGATCACTGTGCACAATTTCCACTTTCACTGGTTGGATAATCAGGTAGGGATTACCGTACGTTCGGTAATGACACTTTAAGTTGCATTTCTCTGTTGTAATCTACATGAAAACCATACCGATCAGTGATTAATACATGAACAGAAGGTCGTGAAAAATCACTGGCACGATTACTGGTATTTTCGCTTGCCGTGCGTTGTTCTCCGCGGCATAATTCTTGGTAACTCCTTTCAGCAGGCTCAACAAACCCTTCCATTGCGGCGGAGTCACTGTTATACACTTGTGTCGCGTTAGGCGCTCCACGAAATTCGGCTATTTGTTCACGTGTAAAATCCCGAATGTCTTCTTCATATCTTCTCCTTTTTGCCGCCAAATTGGGGTATCTTGACTCGATTCCCACAATTTCGCGAAGAAAATCAAGTGCTCGAATGGCGTTCTTAGTATCACGATACACTGCATATTGCAACCAATCGAGGATCTCCGCAAGATTTCCGGTGTGCTTGGTCTCTTCGCGGTAAAGCTCTAAAGCAATTTCCAGCCACGCGGCAGCAGAATTAAAAAACCCATTAACAGCCTGGTTGTGCCCGATAATAAATGCCTCTTGCGACGTAAAGGGCATCGTGGCTCGCGTGCCGGGAATGCGTCCGCGAGCAATATCGCGAGGATGCAGCCGGTATATCAATTGCAGCCGGGCGAAGGCGTCTGCGCTACCTTCCATGTCCGCTTCTTCAGGGAACGTTCGGTTGACGCGCAGGGAAGAAATAGTTTGATGATGCTCTATTCATAAGAATGAAGAAAATGACAAAAAAATTTCCTCAGAACTGCAGTGTCAATAACAAGTGCAGATGGGCACAATGCCTCAATGCCTTACCGGTAAATGTGGACATTTTTATGGGACTAATATCTTCCAGAAGTAGCTTTGTCCTTTGGAACATCGTCACTGCCTCTACATCTAGCTCATCTTCCTTGGCACGTTTTATTCGGCGTATGTATCTGAAAATTTTTGTGTTATTAAAAGTGTGTTAAAGTTCTGTTCTTGTATACCATTAGCACTTCCTTAGCACGGTTGCGTACCGCTTGGTTTCGGCAAGAGCCAGTCGCTCCTCTCTTAGAAAATTCTGCAAAACGTCCAAGAGCAGCTTCTCTGTTGTGATTAACGTCTCCACATCCGCCATCGAGGAAAACACCTCGGCCGATACATTTTTCCCGTTCGAACACAGGTATAGTACGCCTCCAACCGCATATACAAGCGCTAGCAGCTGATATGTGTATGACATGGAATAGTAATAATTAGATTGACTGGTAACAGATTGTAATTAGAGCTAACGCAGATTTTAGCTTTCAAATTTATCAGGAATCATTCGTATGTAATTGTATGATACGTATTGACTGCATGATAATCGGATGATAAACGCAGGGATAGTCGGTTACGCTTAGAAATCCAGACACAACTCATGGAAAGGCACCATTCTGTAACTGTATGGCTGGCTGATCTTGGTATGAAGGCAAGATCAGCCTTTAATTAAATTAAATCTTGGCTAAATCACAAAGTTTGTTACCGTGTATGCAGCTGCCAGTACTTGTACCTGTATTTACAGTTCACTGTAGCCAGCAATGGCCCAGCACAACGAACGCATACGTGTTAATAATGCAACATGCAACCCTTCGCTGGTTGTTGCGTAAAAATTGAAATCTGCCGCAGGTACGAGATTGATTGTTACATCATGTTGCGGCAGTCAAGACTGCAGAAGTATTTCACCGGCCTTTAAAATAACGAATTTTTCCGGTAGTCAATTCCAGTGTCATGCGAACGTAAAACTTGTGTTGCAATACAAAATTTTAATGAATAATTTCACCTTCTGCAAATACTTAAAATTTTATCAATTTACCTGCAATGCTGCTCCTCTGTAATTATGTTTTACCGCTTACCGACCCTACATTATTTACAGAAAGACGCATTTAAGCACTACGTACGGTACAATACATGTACATTATACAGACTACAGAGCATCTTCCATTCGAAGAGTTCAGAGAGTTGTAAATTTACAGTATTTCGCACAAGACGTCCTTGTATCTGTATATTCATTACTGTTGTCGGCCTTATGATCAAACATTCAAACCCAATTCGTAGACTAATAATTTCAGCAAGAAAAAGGCGCACAACCAGAAGGAAATTTAAAGCAGTAACGTGAACGTAATTTTATGAACTTGTTTCTAATATCTTTCACGCGGCACGCACTTGCAACCGAATCCAAGTTTACCCACCTGCTTCAGTTACTTGACTTATTTTTTTCGTTTGTGTTTCTTTCACTACCAGTGAAAACCGTGTTCGTGAGCGCTACTCACTTCGATCAAAAATTGTCGGTTATTTTTAAAATTTACATCTTAATGCATCTTAATGTTATCATCACAGAAATGTGTGCAATACTATCACGATTTTCCGCTTAGCGTAACACACTAAACGCCATCACCGAACTCATCCAGAACATCTGCTATGTCTGCAAACCCATCAGGTGCCAGTCCACACGGTCGTTGCCGGTCTTGACCTTTCTCCCTGATCCACTTGTTGGATACCCATTTGATGCCGGACAACACCGGGCACCCGGCATGCAGTGTGCGCGGATCCGGTTGGCCGTCCTTAAACTTGTTGTACCAAAACGCTGCGGAACCCTTTTCCGGGAAGAGCGTTAAATTCAGACGCGGGAACACGGTGGCGCCGCCGGCCTCCACATTGGTCATGTACGCTAGAAAAGTCGCAATACGGTCGCCCCATATGGTGAAGTTGAGTATGGGTCCCTTGGGCGGTGCGGATGGATCCCACACATTGGCGAAGAAATCATAATGCGCGGAATAATGGCCACCGATACCATAGTTATTGATCTGTAAATTCTCCGCTATGCTGATATCCAGGTTAGTAGCGTGACCGATGTAACGGTTGACCTCGGCAACTACCGGATCCACTGATTCCGGCAGAAATGCTCTGAAAGCATAGCATAATGTCATGACACCGAGTTTGTAGGTTGAAGACATGTCGGCCCATTTAAAAATTCTGGTAATTTTTGATTCCGTTTCAACCAGTACTGCCAAAAATCACAAGCTTGTGCCTTATTTTCCCCGCCCAGCTCTTTTCGGTTTGTCAAGCGACCCGATCCCAAAATCATGCAGACGGTTTTACCGGGATGCGCATTCGCAGCCGGACGATTTTTGCAGACTATACTTTCGAAGTACTAATGGCGAACACACGCTTATCAGCCAAAATCGTCGGTTATGACTGTGCGCTTTAGCAAAACCGTCCGGATACCGAAACATAACCCGGCAAAACTGTTCGGTTGAAGTGCCGTCGAACCACAGGGCCAAGGAACTTAGTTCACAGTATCAAAAACTGCGAAAACACTGGATGGCCGTTGGACAAAGTCAACGACGTTGTGCTAGATCGCTGGACAGTTTTTCCTCGTCACTCACAAATGATTTCCTGGATCTTATAAATTACAGTCAAAATCCTTGTTTCATAGTATTATTAACTAACATTTTTGCTATCCTGACTTTGGAAACGACTCCGGTGCCTTCTTTCTTATCCATAATACGACCACGCTTCAAATGCTCGTAGCCCACGTCGCGAATGCGGGCTGCTTGGGAGTCAAAGAGAACATTGTGGAGGACGAATATCTCCGGGTCTTTGTTCACCATCTCCACCTTGACAGGTTGGATTAATAAATATGGATTTCCATGTGTCTCGTAGTAACATTTCAGTTCTCGAGTCTGGGCGGGAGTCTGCAAAAGAGTAACCTTTTCGACATACGCCACAATCACAACCTCAGAAAAGATTTCGCACCAAACGCTCTTCCCCTCGACACAACGCTTCGTAGGCTGCATGCCTCTCGTTCACGTAATCCGATGAGTCAGTATCAAATGCTTCCGTCGCATTGGGTGCACTGCGGAATACTGCCAGTTCCCCATCCGTCAGATCCCGAATCACGTTTTCGTAGTGGTCAATATTGATTTGTAAATTAAGATACGTCGGGTCGATTTTTTGCACTTGTCGGGTTATTTCCAGCGCGCGCACCGCATTTCCCGTATCTTGATAGATGGCGTACTGCAGCCAGTCCAAGATTTCCGGAAGGTCACCGGTTTTCTCCACCTCTTCATGGTAGATCTCCAGTGCCGCTTGCAACCAGGCTGCCGCCGAGTTGAAGTATTTATTCAAGACTTGGTTGTGTCCGATAATGAAGGCTTCCCGTGAATTAAAGGGCATGGTTGGACGGGTGCCGGGAATGCGGCCCCGGGCGATATCCTGGGGGTGGATGCGGTACGCCAGCTGCAGTCGAGCAAAGGCGTCAGCGTTACCTCCAATGTCCTCTTGATCCGGGAATGCATGGGATGAGCGCAGCCTCTCGATGGACCATTTGCATTCTGCGTACAGTAAACCGCAATGTGCCATGAGTTTACTCGTTCCGATATCTTCCGGCATTTAAAGCATGATGATAATTTCATTGGCCGTATTAAATAATAATGATATTACACCTTGTTGTTTCGCACAGTTATTATGAATAAGGTCCGGTAAACTGAATAGTACTGCATGCTAATATTTCGAGACGTACCGGTAAAAGTATCAACAGAAACGGAGTCTATGAAGGGGCTGAAATCGGATGAGTACTGCTTCAGTATCTGAAACGTTGTGACGGAATCCCGAAGTTCATCGGTCGCGTTAGCACTGATATCTCCCACTCGAATTCGGATTCGATTCGTGAAGCTGCGACAAAAATTCTCTGATTATAGGTACTGGACGAGTGTAACAATTAGTTATGTTTTGCTATCCAAGGTGTAATTATTATGAAACGCGCCATTACAACAGCTGAGAATACAGTATTCGCAATACCGCAAAGCTTTCGTCAATTTTTGTTGTTCCTGTCGCAAAAGAGTCTGCAGTGCATCCAAGACAAATTTTTCGGTGGTGATGAGCGTTTCCACGTCCGCCATGGAAACAAATACCTCGGCCATGACATGATGCAAATCCAACATACAGAAAATTGTGACAGCAATGCCGCAAAGAATCCTCAAGCACCGCATTGAGCCAATTGTGGCATAATATTGACGAAAAAACCCCAAAGCCGCAGTCGAACTGAGACGGCGTACAAAAAGCGCGACACAAAGAATTATTCATATATATACCGCGATCTAAATAATATAAAATAGTACTTACGAAAAATTCATAAGCTCTGAAATGCATTACATGGACTATTTTGTCTCTAGACCAGCGCGAAATACTTGCACATTGGCTGCTAGACTTTGTTCATACCACTGAGCGTTGATTTTACATTGACTATTTTACCATGTTAGCGGCATCGCCTGGAGGTACGGATTACGTAATTGTGGCATGGCGGATACTAATTACTAAAGCGGTTGTAACGTTGTCTAATCGGTTTACCATGGTTTGTGTCTGTTTGTGGTTGTTGTACGAGTATCTAGCTTAACATGTGCGTAATACATGTACATACAACAATACGTAGGTTTAGCGGAACATGTCCAGTGTCCACGCAGATTCTAATCGCAAAGTGTCAGCTCTCTGCTACCGAACTACATGTAACAATAACAAAGAGTTCCAGTCTGCATTGCAGGCTCTGCATGGGACTGGCTATGGCCGGGGGTTGTTAGAAGTGTATTGCCACTTGGTGCATGATTAACTGCACTTCCCGCACCAAATCTACATAGATACCTGCGATATAAAGAAATGAGAATCGGTGGTGCATGTTGCTTCGGTCTTCCATTGCTACAAAAACGCGACTGGTACGCAACTGCGGAAACCATGTGGAAGAGACTGGTCACCGCGCCATTTTTATCCAAGCAGAAAAGACAGGTGGCTCGGCCACATCGAACTAAACACCGAAAGACAGCGGGCATCTAAACTTCCGGGATAGTCATTTGTTAAACCGCGATGGTGAGCGATGCTGTCGATCCGAGTGAACAAGCGGCCAGACGGAATGACCCTGCAGTCGCCGACTCACCGTACGCGATAATTAAGCGAATGTCTGGAGACTGGGAAGATATATATAGTCAGTGCAGTGCACGCAAGGGGATATGATAGCAAGTGGCCTAGCCATCTCCCACGTTCTAGCAAGCGACCGAGAGCAAATCTGGTGTAGGACAATAAACATCATAAATATGTATTCCTAGAGAATAAGACTGCCTGTTTTGTACGTTAGCAGTTAAGACATTAGCTAGATACGTTTAGCTCGCCTTTTGGGGAGCACATTTGTTTTTTTCGGTGGAAAACAAAATGAAGTAACTACATTTCTGAAGCCGAATTTAAATTTGCTGTCGTTAAAGGAATGCTGTGCTGGGTACAGTAAACAGTCTTCCTGAAACGTCGGACGATTTTGGTTGTTTATTCCGTTATGAATCGGCTACTCACTTGAATAATTTACGCAACACGGTATCTCGTTTGAATTCTGTTTGTCGGGCCGCTTTTCTTGCTTACGGTTCTAATTAGAGGTATTTGAAAAACTATAAAGCAAGGCACACAAAACAACTGCAAAACGGGAATTCAATGGGACTTTAGTATTTTCGATACTGTCTTGTGGTTATTGTAGCTTGAACAAACAAATATCCAAACGATGCACCTAAATTATCCTGGTACATTACAAAATTTTGCTGCTTTTTCAGAAAAAAGGATACAATGGCGGACATTTGTGCACGCACTTGTAATCGTACCAAACACAACTCGTACAGCGTACTACATACCCTTTTTATTTTTATAAAGTTTTTTGTTGTTTTAGCCGAGCCGGGACAAAATGTATGACGCTCGACGCGTTAAGAATTGTACATACAACTTGCGGTTAATTCTTTAGAAAGACAAAACCGGCCATTTGCACACAGCATTTAAATGTAAAAAGGCATCAGATGATAACGGTTAAATTATAATTGTGTGCTAACCATTTACTAACACCTGCATTGCATTCTTACATTTCGAAACTGTATGATGCAACCCTGCCATCATAAAATGTTAAACATATTTCAGCTGTTCCGATCAGCTAAAAATTCTAATAACCATCGCCATATCCATCCAAAACACCAATTAAATCTTCAAACCCGTCAGGCGCCAGTCCACACGGTCGTTGCCGGTCTTGACCGTGCTCCCTGATCCACTTGTTAGATACCCATTTGATGCCGGATAACACCGGGCACCCGGCATGCAGTGTCCGCGGGTCCGGTTGACCGTCCTTAAACTTGTTGTACCAAAACGCTGCGGAACCCTTTTCTGGAAACAAGGTCAAGTTTATCCGGGGGAAGACGGTGGCGCCCCCGGCCTCCACATCGGTCATGTAAGCTAGGAAAGTCGCAATGCGGTCGCCCCAATTGGTGAAGTTGACCACCGGTCCGTTGGTTGTTGATAAATCATGCAAATTGGTAAAGAAATCGTAATGCACGGAATAATGACCCCCAATGCCATAGTTATTGATCTGCAAATCTTCCGCTATGTTGATATCCAGATTGGTAGCATGACCGATGTAACGGTTAACCTCAGCAATTACCGGATCGACCGCTTCCGTCAGAAACGCTCTGAAAGTAAAGTATAATACTGCCGCTAGTCCTAACAATAAATTTGCCAGCCAAAAGCTGGTTGAGCTTTAATGTGTTTACTGGTAAGTTTTTGACTGCAGTTGAATTAGTGCGTGTTTAGCACTGGTCTTGAGAAAGTACTGATTGAAAATCGTTTAGTATAGAATATATCAATGCACTAACATTTTTGCTATCCTGACTTTGGAGACACTTCCTCTGGCCTCTTTTCCGTCCATAACACGGCCCCGCATCAAGTGATCATAGCCCACTTTGCGAATGCGGTCAGCTTGGGAATCAAAAATAACATTGTGGAGGACGAATATTTCCGGATCTTTGCTCAACATTTCCACCTTGACAGGTTGAATTAACAAATATGGATTTCCGTGAGTCTCGTAGTAACATTTTAGTTCCCGAGTCTGGGCGGGAGTCTGTAACAAAGAGACCTTTTGACATACGTCGCAATTATAGCCTCAAAGATTTGAATTGCGCACCAAGCGTTCTTCACCACGACACAACGCCTCGTATGCTGCATTCGTCTCATTCACGTAATCCAGCGAGTTGGTATCGAACGCTTCCGTTGCATCGGGTGCATTGCGGAATACTGCCAGTTCCTCATCCGTCAGCTTCGGAATCGCTTCTTCATAGAAATTGATATTGGTCTGCAGACTGGGGTACGTCGGATCGAGTTCCTGTACTTGTCGCGTTATTTCCAACGCTCGTACCGCGTTTCCAGTGTCTTGATAGATGGCGTACTGTAGCCAATCTAGGATTTCCGGAAGATCGCCGGTTTTCTCCACCTCTTCATGGTAGATCTCCAGTGCTACTTGCAACCACGCTGCAGCCGAGTTGAAGTATTTGTTTCCCGCTTGGTTGTGTCCGATAATGAAGGCTTCGCGCGATGTAAAGGGCATTGTTGGACGGGTGCCGGGAATGCGGCCCCGGGCGATATCCTGGGGGTGGATGCGGTATGTTAACTGCAGTCGGGCAAAGGCGTCAGCATTTCCTTCGATGTCCTCTTTATCCGGAAAGGCTCGAGACATGCGCAACTTTTGGATGGAACGATTGCGGTCTACCGTACATTTAACAAATTTCAATTTTTTCGAAAACAGTCACATTTTCTGTAAAACGTTTTGTGATATACCCGTTCACGGTGAGCTGATATATAACAGAATTATTCATTGGCTTAATTATCAGGAATATTAAATATGCAGAAATGCTCGGGAATTTAAATACTGATTTAAAACGTACCAGTGAAGGTGTCAGCGGAAGCGGAATCTATGACGTTACTGAAATCTGAAGAGTGCTGTTTCAGTGTCTGAAACATTTTGACGGGATTTTCAAGTTCATCGCTTGCGATAGCTGTAGCACTGCCATTTGACGTTCCATTTCGAATCTGTTTTGTGTAGCTGCAACGAAAACTTTCTTGCGTAGAATGCGTAATGGATGGACCACGTAATTTTTAACTAGCTGGGCAGCTTCGTAATTCTGATTTAGAAGGATCTTAATACTTTTAAAGCGTTTGTTTTTCGAATTTCATCAACGCGCGCGCATGTCACTCGACATTGCTGTAGCCGTAATTAATTTTTGTCATACATTTAGAGGATATTGATAATAGTTATTCATGGTAAAATTTTACAGTGCATACTTTAAACTGTTTAAAGTAATTCGTACCGCAGAGCTTCGGCTAACTTTTGGCGCTCCTGCTGCAGAAGATTCTGCAGCGTGCCCAAGACTAATTTCTCAGTGTTGATGAGCGTTTCGACATCCGCCATAGAAGCAAATACCTCGGCTGTAACATAATGCAAATCAAAAGCAGAAAAAATTATTAAAACACCGTAAAAAATCTTTAAGCGCCGCATTAAGCTAAATGTGGCAAAATAAATCGGCGAAAAAGCGCAAATGCAAGCTGTCCACAGCCTCAGAAATTCTCAGTACAATCCTTTATATGAAAGTTAACATAAGATCAGGATGATTTGGTATACGGCAATATTTGCAATGCGTGAGCAGGGTTCTTGAAAACTATGGATAAATATATTTGCAAGAAACTATATTTGCCAAATTATTGGTGCATGAACAAGTGAGCAGTGTTGTGCGAGTATGCCGCGCATAGCTGCTCGACGAACGTCATGCAATCACCTGCAAACTAATGCTTTTGCCGGAAGGAAGGTGCAAATTGTAAAAGAAACCATCGGCCAAAACTTATGACTGCAACAGGTAAACGAGAACATAACATCTGATTATTGATCACCGTCCACCGATGCCGTTTTTTATTTATGTCGCACTTATATACATGTATCTGTACAGAAGGCATATGCGAATATGTGTAATGACGCGTTTAGTTAGGGTTACAGCTTGCTGTTTGCATCTGGATGCAAGCGCAATTTTATCCCGTGAAAATCTTGATGAATTTACGTTTTAATACGAGTATGTTTGTGAGTAAAACGCTGGAGTGCACGCCGCGGTCTCGGTGGATTGGGGCAATCTCTGCTTGGATCCCATTGTGCCGGCACTGGCTGTTTACTACCTGAGGCGTCGATCACTGCTTCATAATGATGCAAATGATACAAATTAATACTAATTTTCTCCTACAAGCTTTGTGCAGGTACGAGTACAGCAACTTACATTGTTAAAATTTAACCAATGCTTCCAGTGCGTAACGTTACACAGAGTATCTTGAGCAGTGCACTTTTCGCACTACATATTCCGCTACACATGAAATTCAAAAATTGTGTGCAAATTCAAAAAGAGAGCGAAGTCCTTGTAACCCGAAACATTACTGTAGCCGCTAGATGAAGTGGCTCCACAGAGTCTGGTATACGGGAAAATGCAAGCTTAATATACACACTTTGCTTGTGCAGAATTATTTCTGATTCCAAACATTTTCACTCTGACGCTACCGACATTCTACATGTTTTACTTTTCTTTTGCTTTCTCTTATTACTGCATTTGTTAGGGACGTACGATAATTATAGTAAGAGCATAATGCCAGAGCTCTGATGTTTATAAATCAGGTTTGTTGTGGTTTTTGGGGGTGCCCCTGGCAGGGGGTGTGATATTCCATCTGAATGGGCATTCTGGCCATACTTTATGATAATCAGAGCTCTCACGAAGGGAAGGAGAATATTTTTGAACAAAAATTATCTTGAAACGAGAATTAGCATTTAGAAAGTGATGATATGATTATCTGCGAGACGAGTTTGATTGATAAAATAGTACTAATATTAAAAAACAAAGTGCGCGCCTCCCGGTGGGAGAACGTCTCGTGCTCAGTGCCCGGCCAGGGCCAGGCAGCGGCCGGATCTAAAAGTGGAGCCACTTCATCTAGCGGCTACAGTAATTAACCGAAAACTGATGTCATAAAATTATTACGTGTGTTGGTTGTACGAGTACTTGTTACTGTATTGTATACTGCACATATAGTGGTCATATACCTTTTATGTACGTAATAAACTGACCGTTACATGCAAAAATGCATCTTCAATTATTCGCGTAAACTTATATAGGGGCATTAATTTTGTATGACGTATGTATAGAAGTATCGTTCCCCATATATATCACTCGTGCAAAGAATTTCGACAAATATACATAAATTGAAAAATACGCTCTGCTACATACTGTCCACACTTAGACAAGTATGTTAAATGCACATCATCTAGAAAACCAAAAACAGTTCATCAAGGGAGCGACTATACTCAACTGTACCAAGAACACAGGCAGCATTGCCCCGCTGAATTTCTAAACTGCAACGCTGCAATAAAAACTGTTTCGCACGGATTTCTCCAGTCTGCTCCCGAATATGTACGTTTGGCCAGGTCCGAAATAAAACCTTGAGTACTCGGGCATATACCTATGCAGTCATTGCAGTTGCAGAAGCGGAAGCCGTAAAGCAAATTCAGTAATTAAGTAAATGTTTTTGTACCGCTGTATTAATTTACCGGGAAATTCATATTAAAGCGGGAAATCAAAAAAAGTGAACTTAATTACAATACATACACGTTTGTATTTTCCACACACTGGCCACTGGCCAGCGGCCAACACGCTGCTGTTTGCTAATGCGGCTGCAACGCGAGGGGAGCGCGGTGCTGCTGCTACGACAGGCAAAAAATTTAAGTACTACTTTTTGCAGCTTATTTTTGCCTGAATTTTATAAAGCATGTACTCGTAGTTTTGACTTTTTGACTATTTTTCTTTCAGTTCTCAATCAATCTCACTGCGATGCTCACTACGCCCCTCTACTTTTATGAGACATCGGAAGTCCTTATTACCTTGAACACCTTGGACTTCAATCCTTCTCTCTGAAATGATGAAATCTCACGCTGTCGTTATTTTGGTGCTTGTCAGCTTGTTGTTCGGTTTTTCTCAGCGTTTTTAAGGTTTGTGGTTGACGACAAATCCGTGGATATCGTCTTGACGTATCCCTTCGATATTTGAATGCTTTGGCTATAATAAGGAACCCGTACCTTTATTGGTGGCACTGTTAATTGCTGAAATGGATGAGCTTCCTGGATATCCTCCGTGGAATAAAGGAGCTGATGTGAAAACCCATTCAGGTACAGCATACTGTAGTCTGTATGTTATGTACGGTTGTAGCAGTCTATATGACTCTATCAGACTTCAAACTTTCCAGAAACGGTTGATGTAGAGTTACTTCTGAGTTTTATAACTTATATTTTACCTTGGATATGTGAACAGCTTTTTAGCTGCGAATCGTCGGACTAACATGTTTCGTTATAAGAACTAAAATCACAAGTGGAAATGTTTTCTTTAATGGCGTGTACGAACAGTCAGTGTGATTTTCGCCGGGATGAACGAGCTTTCGAAATCTGCAGAACTTATTGGTAAAATTGATTGGGAGCCTTTTCACTTTGTGAATGTGTGGCATCCGCATGTGGGCAGCAAATCCGTCGATTGTTACATGGAAATAAATCAAATGTAATAAAAATATTGTAAATAAATACAAATAAAGTCTGATAAAGAAAACTAAATAAAATATATAAATTAAAAAATAACATAATATTACTACTAGTTTAGTAATATTATGAAAATAATTATGAAGTGTATGATTCACTTCGCAGGTCTTCCGCCCTCTTCTCCCACCCCCAGCGCCCCCCTCTCCTCTCCTCCTTCGGCCCCCACCAGTGCCCCCACCCCCACTCCCCCGCCTCCCCAACCGACACCCCCACCGCCTTCCGCCCCACCACCCTCCAGTCGCAAGGCCGCCGCTGCTGCCAGCGCTGCATCCTCCTCCAGCAGCAGCAAAGGCGAGCGGAGCGAATCCCTGCCCCTGCTCTCCAAGGAGAAGATCGAACAGATCGCCCACACCGTCGACCCGCATCTCAAACTGGACCCCGACGTACAGGAGTTCCTGCAGCAGTACGCCGGGGAGCTGGTGGATGAGTTGGCCGGGATGTCGGCGCGACTGGCGCAGGCGCGAAAGAGTAAAGTCCTGGAGGTGCAGGATGTGCGCTTCTATCTGGAGCACAACTGGAATATCTTCATTCCCGGGTTTGGAGCGGATCCGGTGAAAGCCAAACGGAAAATTCCGGAGACGGAAGCCCATAAAAATCGGCAGGCGATAATTAAAAAGCATCTCAAGAAGTTTTAATGGACGACGCTGTTTGGGAATTTTTTGTTCGGCGTTTCTGTGCACAGTATGGACGCACTTAACGTGGATGTAGTGCAGGCAGTGCCAGGCACCAATTGTTTGTGTTTTTGCCGATTGCAGTATCGGGTAGTTTTTTTGCTTTTTTGCTGTATTTTGCAAAATGTTGAAAACATCGTTTCTGTTTTCGGTAGCTCTTGTATTAATACCTCCCAGTTTAGTCGGGAAATGAAGTTTTAAAGAATGTCAATTGTGTTTTTTAGTCGTCCTTTTTTTTATTGAAAACATATTGTTAGTAATTCCGAAATTGCGATAGCTGACAGCCTGACGCGATTCACTGGTTTAAAAAAGAAGCGAAGTTCTTCAGTCAGTACGAGTGATAATTAACGGTGGGACATGTATCGTAGTACGTGGGTTGCAAAATCGGCGAAAGATGTTTTGGGTCGTCCATTTGTTCGAATTTCATCGTGTATGAAATTGACCGTAATTGGCGTATGCTACTATATTGGTAGCTTTTTTCCAGATAATATTCAATAACTAAGAATTTTCCACAATTCCGATTTTCTTTATAAGTATCGCTTTATCGCAAGTTACCACACACTGCCTCCCTAACAACAATTATTTTATCTTTAATTTAATATAATAATTTATGCTCTGTGCTGGTAAAAGTTAAAACCATTTACAATCAGTAAAGACAACATGGTACAAAGTTACAAACTACAAAGTGAACTAAATCAAAAAATTCATTAACCAAATTATCAATCAATAAAAACACACAAGCACCACAACAACTGCCAAAAATACTCAGACAAGTTAACATTCTAATGATGGTGGTGATTCCCACAGCCATCACATCCACCACCCAGATGCTGCATCGCTCGTCCTTCCGCCATCACAGCTTCGTACAATTCAATGGCTTTCTTATGCACTGCTGAATCTCCACCGGCTGCAATACGCGTTATGCTCAGGGCATTCCGTCCCAATAATTCCAGATCATCATACAGAGATTTAGCCCGGATGTTGGTCTGTAGTCCGACACGGATCAACTGCAGTAAATGCGATCCGACGGCAATGTGCTTCTCGGGATAAGCGAAAGTCGTACCTTCCAGAGCGTTCTGACTGAACGTAAATGCCATATTAAAATCACCTACAAAAACAACTAAATTGACGTCGCGGTGTAAATCGAATAACGCCAATAAATGCAGGCTACATGTGCAAAGTCTAATATCATAGTCGTCAATCTTATTTATCAAAAAAAGCAAAAATACTGAGTCACTGACTATCGAAGAAAAATCACCAATTTATCCGAAATATCTACAGAAGTATAATATCAAGCACGAGCCACTAATAGGCAGAACAGACAACCACTGAAGCCATTTCACTACAACGCTCATACACCGATAAGAAAAGTCACCCTATAAAAATTACTTACACAACAATCGCATTATCATTTTTAATCAGATCTTTGTATGATCTCCGCTAACTGAATAATTTGTCGGTTTCAGTTGCATCCAAAAGATGCTACGTAGTAACAGTACATACCCAGTGAAGTGTAGGCCGACGAGCAGAGCAACGACATCGTGCAGATCACAAAATGTTTTGGATGCAGCAGACCGGCTGCGCGCCGCAAAATGGGATCCGCCAGCTGGACAACGGATGCGAATTCTCCACGGCTCATCTGGGCTTCCATTCTACTGATCACCAGTTCTCCGTCGGTCATCAACTGATCCGCATCAGCCAACGGTTTGGCAGCGACTTTGGATTTACAGTGGGGACATTTGACCGCTCCACTGGGTTGACTGCGGTAGGGCACGGCCTCGCCGCATGTTTTCTTTTGGCACATGATACTCTGCAGCATTGCATCCTGAAAATAACATGGAATTAGGAAATGGTCACACTATTTGCAGAGAAATACATCTGGCTGACAGGGAGCAAAACACGCATTCATTATTACAGCAAACTCAACAACACCAACTCTTTATATAATAGTACATAATTTGCCCTTCTTTTCCGCGAACGCAAACTATAAACACACCCTTGACATTTAAACGTCATAAATCAATGATTTTATTTTCACGGCAGGCTCAACTAAATGTTCCAAGAGATCCAAATTCTGTGACAGCAAACTACGATTTCAATCGTACAACACGTAACTACGTGAGTGCACGGATGTGCTAACGTAACTTAGGCCTTGTCCCGAATTCGAAGCGAATCTTGTTGCGATACAGCAACTCCACCTCGCGAAGTGGCTTCGCGTACCGTATCTGTAGGCGTGGCCACTGCATACAGCCACCTCGTGCGGTTGAGCAACCATACCAAAGCCAGATTCGCTTCAAATTCGGGACGAGGCCTTACAGTACAGTAGAAGTATCTAGAGTACTCCGATAGTTACTGATGAAGCGAGCAGTATGATTCTATCCTTACGTGTAAAACATCGTTACAACGTTCACATTCACAGTCGAAAAAGTAATGCTCCTTGAGGAATTTCCTCCGCAATCGTGCAGGTTGATGAAGAGCCGTGTACGTTACGCGCACCTAAATCCAACAAGAACACCAAAATTGTGATAAAAAGTTAATAAAAAGTTAGTAAACGTACACCTTTAGAGAGTTTATATCATCTTCATACAGAATCTGCAAATTTTCTGCATAAAGATCGGTCACGATTATCAGAGGTGTTGAATTAACTATCCCACTGCACTACCTTCTCTTCACTTTTTGTAGAGGAATACGATCGGCCTATCTTGCAGTAAATGAGATGTCGGAAAATACGATAAATCTGTTGAAAGTTTTTCTTAACAAAAAGTTCGCAGAAACTTTTGTACATGATTAAAAAAAACTCACCGAACAGTGAAAATTTTTCAGTGCGGTACAACCACTGCAAAAATAACATTACGCAAGCAGTGCGTATAGGTAACATTGTAATTTGATGGCGTGGTGGAAATTGACAATTCCGTATCAAAATTTTGAAATAAAAAGCGTCGTAACAAAATTTTCAACAACCCTTGCACTGTTCTCGCAACAACCCCGAGAAATCGTAACAACGACATTTTAAATCCACTTCATCCTTCTGGATGAATTTGTCTCCATAACACCTACGTCTTCAACAGCTGGTATTTCTGTAATGGCTCGCACGATCATATCCGGTCCATCGTACGACTGGCTAGAGTTGGGTTTGCAAGAGTGATCGAATTTCGCCGCGGACAAAAACACCCCATGTCCGACAGGCTCATTCATGGGCCCCTGTATGGCGTAGGCGTTGCTCTTAATGCGACTGTAAATCTCGCCAAGAGAATCAAACCGAAGAAATTCTTCAAATGCCGGATCTGCAAAGTAGTCCGCAAGGGTTTTCCCTGCTTGTGTAATGTAATCGGCGATTTCTTTATCACATTTTGCTTCCGTCCAATCTGCAGGAAGACATGAATCTCAGTCAACGAGAAGCACGAGTACAATATCCCAAAATTTCGACTCTATTAAAATGATTTCCGGAGATTTTGGGTAACATTCAAGCACCAACACAGTAATCACTCACCCACTAAATGATAATGAGCAAAAACGTCAACTGTAGAGTAAAAGACATTTCAAAATTGTAAAATGTTGAAGCCGCACACTGCTATACATACCGTAACAATTAGAGCATTTTAGCCTTATGGAAATTTCAACTGTCATTAAAATTGTGGCAGTGGCGTAGAGCGGTGTAGCTACAGCAACAACAGTAACAACTCACTTACAAAATCAGACATCTATAAAATGCTCCGGAAATAAGGAAAACAAAATGATAAAACCAAATTTTTGTTTCTGAGCAGTGAACCGGCAAATTTAATTATAGTTTTCAGACGGCATAAAATTATACGTAACACGATAACACCTCTTACGCGATGCCAAATCATGAAATCGACGCTGGAAAGGTGTGATATTTCGCTTCGGATCTTCGCCATCGATTCCCAGCTAACAGTAAAGACAAATCGCGTTCTTATAGTGTTCGCTTCGTAATGTCCCCAATCTATTCTCACCTTCAATTTCAGCACGGTTTGAGCAAGCAGCTGCATAAAGCTGGATAATTTTCCCTCGGTACGCTTTAATCCATCGCATTCGTGCTTGTGGCTTTCCTTCCATGATTTTTTCTACTCAGCGAAAATCAGCAATTAATTTTGGCCCAGTAATTCAGCAAACCGTTTGAAATATAATCGATTACTTTGACCAAATTAACTCAAATTAAATAACAAAAATTAAAATTAATTTATGATAAAAAAGAAATTTATACGAGATTTACTCTTTTAATGTTTGATTTTTTAGTGATACTGTGATACAGATAAGTATACGTTAATACAGTATACTTCTATAGTATTTACTGTTTACAGTATATTTTTTATGATTAATTCAAAAATTTTTAATTCTTGTTAAATTCTTAAACCTGGCAATCCGGACTGCAATACGAAGATAGTTTGCATTTGGAGCAGCGAAGAACCTTAAGGTCCCTGCAAAATAAGCCAAAACACAATAATATGCAATCGTCGCTGGAATTGCCCACAGAAATGCAAGCTGGGGTACTTACGATCGGAAGCAGTACTCGCAGACTTCCGCTCTTCTGTTATTCTCCACGACATATGCCAGCGGATGGTTTCGCAAGATCAGGGCTCCTGTGCTATACGGGCCAGCAGACATTGTATCAGTGGTGATTGCAAAAATAAAGCTGGATAAGTACTCTGGATAAGTTTTCGGCTATTCCATTGCAGTTTAGCATCAACAACCCGATCCGTGATAAAAGCAGACGCAAGCTGTAAGCGCAATCAGAGTAATGACTGCTCTTCAAAAAATTACGGTGCAATGAAAGACAAGTGTTCCGGCTGCAGTAAAAGTTACACATGCATTTTAACTCCCTGGCGCCTACTATAAAAATTAATCTCGAAGAAAGGAAAAACAAGAACATACGAAAAAACAAGATTCTAAAAACAACAATACTGCGGCATTTGCGAACTGTGATGACTCCAAAAAAGGCCAAAACAAACGACACAAGGCAAGCTAGATTACAGGGATTACGTTTCCTGCGGTCCGTTAGCTGCGGCACGTTGGCTAAGTACTGCGAGCAAAATCTCTAATGGAACAGCAACTTCCCTGTACCCTTTAGCCTTTTTTATGAATGACAGCCGTGATCTGTTTTGACGACGTGCGCTATGCTCGCGTCTTTATATCGCTCTTCACCGTCAGTCGTGATGTTTTAACGAGCACTTTACTTAACAGTTCGCACCCCACATCACGCTGCAGGCGAACTCTCTCTTGATCTCACTTTTCACTCGGGTTTCTTACCGCCACCACAAATGTTTCTCCACGACTGATCTATGTATTTATCAATATTTATTCATCCATCTATCATTCTTTGGCGATCGATAGCCGACGTGCATCCATCCAATGGACGCTCTATACTACACCAGCAGCAACACAACCACTGACTGGGACACCACCGACCCCTCCAATCACTCCCTCATCCCGGGCACGGGTGTCAGCTATGCCGACCCCGAAATCCTGGCGCTCCTGGCGCTGGGTTCCGTCGGCTTCATCCTTAACATCACCATCATCTCGCTGGCCAGTCGACGGCCCGCCTTCACGCAGGTGCCTGTGCGGTCGTTGGTGATCAGTCTGGGCAGCGCCAATCTGTACGTCATCTTCTTCTGTATGTTCATCAACGCGGCCTGGCACAGTATCGGGGGGTGGTTCGATGGGGACTGCCGTTTCTACCGCACCGTGGAGGCCTTCAGCATCAATGCGGGGGCCTATATTGCCGTGGCGTGGGCGGTGGATCGGTGTCGGTCGTGTGTGGTGCAGAAACCGGAGAAGAACGCGCTGGGCACACCTGTCAAGAAGCCCCGACATCTGACGAAGCTGGTGATTGCCGCTTGGGCGCTGGCGGTCCTCTTGGCGCTGCAGCACGTACGTTGGGAAAATTCCATTTACTAGATTTCAAAATATCCTAACGGGATAGATTGTGGAATTGTGGCTACAAATTTAGCAATTTTGCTGCCATTTTCGAATTGAAATATTGCCAGCCGATAGGTTTTCTAAATAAACTATGGAACCGAAATTCCTCACATTGGTTTAATTGATTTGTTCAAAATTTTCTTGGTTTTTAAAGTTTCTTTTCCGGTCGCTGGGTTTTGTGAATATTTTGTCTTTCGCTAGTCCTCCATTTCATTAGTATTAAATATACTAATAATAGAATGCTGTCTGGAGCGAATAAAGTGATCGGCAAAAAGTCACAAAGCAAACGCGAAAATGAATTTTGGAATGCTGATACAGATGGCAACAAAATCTGTGCGGTATTGACTTTGAAGTTTTTCTTATTTACAAGTACTTCGAATGCAGTAGTCGCCTTAATTTCAGCATTAGTGTGTTTTATTTGGAATTTAAATATTGTTTGGAAAGCCTGACACCCGAAGTCGCTTTTTCTTGCAGTTTGGTTAAACTTACCTTTAAGACTGATGATTCAGCTTTTTATACAACTTTAAAAAGGTGCCATCGGCAGTTCTCACTAATCCGAGGCTTGTCTGGACAGTATACACTTTAAGTTCAGTTCATAACCTTGGAGCTAAAGTGCAGTCCTGTTGCGCAGTGCCGCTTATCTGAAAGCTTGTGGATTGATCGAAAGCATCGAATCTAAAAATTAATAATTGTGGTGGTTAAAGTAAATTTTTAAGTAAATTGTTTCAGTGTTATGATCGAACCGTTTACATAAAATGGATAAATTTGCAATAAAAATTGTTTTCACGCAATAACCTTTACATACCATTGTATTGAATCTGTACTTCTTGTTTTTTTATGATGTTACTGTACTTATATTCGACAGGCTTCTTACTACTGTTCGTTTTCTGGAAAGCTTTTGTTAATTTTTTAACAACTTGAAAATGTGACTGCCGCAAAAGGCCTTTCCCCCTGTATTGTAATGTTGTCAAGAATTTCCCGTAATTTTAGCTTGAAGCGAGTGAACTTGTTGAAATAAACCATGTCTTGTAATTTATGAGAATATAAATTTGGCGAGTTGTTGTCATTAATTAACTGCTTCAAAATTGCTGATCCGGCCGATACATTCAGCATTGCATTCGTCAAGCGGTAGTCACAGTCTTCCTACTGTACCGAGTGGTACTCATATTTCTGACGGTGAGTTTACAAGTGATTATTAATAACAGGGCATCATGGTCGTGATCAGTGATCAGGCTGTACCTGCAGTTCTCCATCTCCCTGTAATTATGCGTTACGTCATGTCAGCTTAAAATTCCTGCTATTGATTTTTCGGTAATCGTTCGTATGGGGATCGACTTGGGGCTGGCTGTTTTGAAAATAAAAGGATCTTCCAAGTAAATATGGGTGGGAAAAATTGCAGGTTTAGGATCTATATATGTTGCTGCTTTCAGCATCTGGAGTATAATTATATCGTCAGAAAACAGAAAACAAGTGGGAATTTGGGGATTCTGTGGAGAACAATAAACATCTGCCGCGGGACTAATAATACCCTGAGAATATTGAGGTTAAGCCTTAAAATTACTGTAATACGAGTTCCCCCGTTGCTCTGTTATGTACGGAAAAGCAGTAATGCAAATAGTAATTAAAGAGTTCATCGTAAAAATGTAATGATAATTAATTTGTTAAGAAATAGACAATATTTTTGTCATAATTATGCACAGCTTGTGATGGCATGCGCCATGCAGATTTCTCGTGATTGATGAGACAGAATTGCTCGTCAGGTCAAGAAATTTGACACTTTCGCTTACAGTTACGACATGGCATTTACTAGAACCATTTACGTAGCTATGTAATTACATCAAGTAAATTTATAAACCGCACATAGAGAATACATGAAAACGCGCGAATAAAACGCATCAACGGCAAACTTAAATTAATTAAATAACTACGCAAGTGATTCTGTTAAGTGCCAGTAAATATTAAGAACGCTGTTTGCACATTTACTAAATCTGACGTAAGATGATTAGCATGTCTGCATGAGTAGGATTAAGAAGCATGTGTAGGATTTAAAAATCAGTTCATAAACAGTGGTATTTATTAAGTCAATAAACAGTATTATGATTTCCTTGCAGTTGGTGGTAGTGCCGAGTGAAGTTAGCCAGGTGGATGTGAATCACACGGTACCCGTGCGTGTCCCGGCTACAATGGACTGTGTTTCGCGAGGGCATTACTATCCTCCATGGAAGCAGATTGTTGTTGATATGGTGTCCATTTCCACCACGTTTTTGATTCCAGTCTTTTTTATTGTTTGCTGTCTTGTTGCATTGTTGGTTCATTACATTCGGTTGAAGCGAAATAAGACAGGTGAGGCGTCCTACACAGTCGTAACGTAATAAATTGTCTTTAAGGATTAACATTTTCCTTCCCGATTACAGTTTAGTAGTTAAAAAGTATGCTTAATTAACGCTCAACACGGGTGTTCTGTTTAGTTTTCGTAGAGGGATTAGTTTTTGAATCATGAATTTCTCCCTGGTTAAAATCATTTTGAAGCATTGTTTCTCCACCTAATTTGTCTGCATACAGCACTGTTACATTAATTTTGATAATTACCGTGTTATGCTGACAGCTGACGGGCTTTAATATAAGATTCGAAGTATGAATTCGTAGAACGACGGCTATCAGTGACATAGCAAGATTTCATTCTTTCGGCAGTTTTAAAATAGGACAAGTGATTGAAATAAAGGATTGTTGAGAATTTTTGATATTTTATCTTTCAAAACTCATAAAGAAAAAAATTTCTCTTTTAGAGCGTCCGCGTACGAAATTGGGTGTGCGACGTTTCCACAGTAGCTTCGATGATGAAGCCGTTCTGGACAATAGGCACATTGTGCGGTTGACCGTGGCACTGGCTCTGGCGTTTATCGTATTTTGGGGTAAGAAAGAAATTTAATTATTAATTTTATATTTGTTTTACCGGTCAAGACTGTTTTTGACTGCGGCGAGGTGGTTATAAACCTGCATGTTTCTAGGTTCATATTACACGGTCCTGATCATCAAAGTTGTTGGCTGGATTGATGTGAGCTTGGCTATCACATCCATCTTGTATATGATTGGTAAGAGAAATACAGAAGACCTGTTGGAGATTTCAGAGTAAATAATGAAAACTGAAAGTATTGGTAATTTTATTGCGTCACGGATACGAGTCGGGAAATGGGAATCGGTATTTCAAGATCGATTTTCATGATGATTTGAGTGTATATACTACACCGCTTAATACTCCCACATTTATTAACTCCGGGCGTTATTTCTCGGCAGGTTTAGGATACTCACTGGCATCACCGATTATTTATTTATCGTTCCACTTGTGGCGCACAGCGTACTGCGGGAAGGATGCGTATGGATTGGAGCGCTCCGCGTCGACCATTCGCGAGCGCATTGAGATGCTGCATAAAAATCAGCTGAGTCGCCGTTTTGATGATTTGTAATTTTTCACACCGGATGCCGGAAACTCATAGTTCAGGATGACAGCACACTCACTCAGGATGCCCTGTTCAACCCGGATTTTTTATCATCGGAAAGGTTTTTAACATTTTTATGCGTGTTCGAGAGGATATGCGGAGCGGAAAATGTTTTCATTTTTTTTAAAAATTTTTTTTATTGCATGTGGAATTTTTCACGCTTGTGACAAAATGTAACCTGGAATTTTCGGCAGCTTTTCTTTTTGAAAGAGATTGTATTTTTTAAAACTTGGATCTGCAACCTTGGTCTATCTCGCCTCGAATGTAACAGTTTTCTGTGTCATTTGTGTTTCCTCAGCAATGCAAATTTGCAACCTACTCTGATTCTGTTAATTACGTATTTTTAATTGTCTTTTTCACTCATCGGAGGTTTTTGTTCCTGACTTCTTTTATACGTACCTCTGCTGCCTGTTTTTAATTTGAATGAAATTCTGAAAAGCGGATTTCGCGTTACATTCGTCTTGTAAATCTCTGGAAAGCAGTATCAGAGCAAATCAATGCGAAATAGTCAACGGAAATTTAATATTTTGGTAGTGTGCGACGAGAGAGCACAAGTGGGTCAAAACTAAAACAAAGGAATCGTGTGATGTCGGTCAGTCGTTAAAGCAAAAAATTAGCTGAGGATCGCCTGTCATATTATTTCCAGAATTAGCGTACTTTTACTTTTTTTACTGACTGCGTTGAATAATAAGTAATCCGGATTCGAGAGTAATTGATATTGCGGTTTAAAGTGAATTAAGCCGGGAATCCGAGTGATTCTTTCGAAACAGTGTCTGTCCAGTGTCCAATTCGCTTTAGAATAAAACATAAATTAATTGTAAAGCCGGTTGGTAATTTTATGGTTTCATTACTTAGATCCTACGAGTTTCATATTTTGCAGTAGAATCAAACTCTATAAATGAATATTACACAAACCGACGAAAACATTATGGAAGCTAAGCACACAAACATAAGTTGGCAGCCACTGTGGCACTGCGTGTAACCTCAGGCAAATCAGTGTGCCATAAGCTGCCAGAACGTGAGGATTGTGAAACATGGCTCACTGCAGCCGTAAAATTGTCTAATCTCTCGCTTTAAAACTGAACGGGTGAAATAAAATTTGTAAGCAATGACTAAAATTAAGTAGAAACTGCACGGAACTTTGTTAGTGACAGATCCGATAGCATTTGTTTGGAGGGTTATTCTATACGTGGAAAAGGTCAGTCGCATCCTTTATGAAATCCTTCAGACGTTGCTCTTGACCGGAGCCGATGATTGTGAAGACAATGCATAAAGTAGCGGTCCACGGTTTGTAATTGGTACATGTGGTCCATACGTACCTTATTTGCGCGTAGTCTCTGACTCTCTGCACATTGAACTAATAATTAGCAGATTTTATTTTGTCAGTTGGGCACGTGTTCTAGAATAGTGTTTGCATGTGAAATTTTGCTCCTAGTGAGTCGTGACTAGAGATACCATTCACCATGCGGACCATTGCGGTTTACTTTTTGACGTTTATTGCAATGTGTTCCATGGATGGATTCCAGTCCAGAAAAATCGCATCCAATGATCGCGCGAAAAACGCGCAGAACGATGACTTTGATTTCCTGTTGTTTGCGCAACAATGGCCGGCGTCAGCTTGTGTGGATGGACATTTTACCGCGAGTGCGACATGTGGTTTCCCGCCTGGATTATCGCAGACGGTAAGGTCTCAATGTGACGAGGATAGCAAGAAAATTTAGCATTCCGTGACTTATACAGATTAAGTTTGGAAATTTACGGGAATATTTTTATTTTTATTATAAACATGCTCTTGAAAACACCTTTGCAGTGCATAAAGAATCGCCGGTAATGCGCAGTTTCAATCAGTACGCTGTACGCAGTATAGTTGACCTTTCGCTCTTTGTGTGGTCTGCCATGAGACAATTATTTGATTTATTTCATACTAATAATATTATATTATTCACCTTTTATTAAGTTTTGCACACCCAGTTTATTCTAACACTGTCATTTTGATTTTTTGTTATGCAATGTGGAGATAAACAGTAAACATTGCTGCGGTTATTAATATTACTAAAATATTGTGATAATACTTTTTAATAATTGTAATATAATAATTCAGGGTTGGACCGTTCACGGTTTATGGCCGTCCAAAATCAAATCGATGGGTCCGGACACATGCAGCCGAACGGCATTCAAAGCGGACATCCTGAAACCGCTCATGCAGGACCTGCAGACCGTGTGGCCCAACCTGATCACCAGCAAACCAGATGACAGCTTCTGGGCCCACGAATGGACCAAGCACGGCACTTGTGCCGCTAGCGTACCCGCCCTGGCCGGCGAGTTCAACTACTTCAACAAACTGCTGCAGTTCTACAAACAGTACAACCTGTACAACGCCCTGCAGGCGGCCAACATTGTGCCCAGCGTCAGCAAGACCTACACCCAGGACGCCGTGATGGCGGCGCTGCGCAAAGGATTTAATAAGCAAGTGGGCGTGCATTGCGCGTACCGCAAGGATACCCAGCAGCATTATTTGGCAGAAATCCGGCTTTGTTTGACGAAGGATCTGACGCTGATGGACTGCCCGCAAGATATTATGCGACGAGAAACGGCGTCGTGTCCGAAGAACGGGCGGTTGCTGTATCCACCGCTGCCGCCTAGTGCCAGCCGCACGTCGAATCGCGCTGGCGGTCGCGGAAGAAATCCACGCGGACCATAATAGCGAATATCTGCACTGCTGTGGAGGATAATGATATACAATACAATAGTATACGTGTGCTTTCTGATTATTTATACACGTGTTAGTTTATGTACTTGAGAGATGTAACACATAATCTCGTTCTGGAAGGTCACTCCTCGTTTGCTAACGCCGTGACATTTTATAAGAATGGAGTTAAATAAAAAAATTGCATTTTAAAGTTAGCAGCGTGTTATACTTGTACAACGCCTGATGGTGATCATGAGTTCGTAAGGTCGTCCGATTACATGTACAAAACTGACTAGTCTTATGAAATAGGCAAATACAGTGCTTGTGCACAAATATTTCGCGCAGTATAAAAAAAAGGACATCATAGTTTGGACAGTATCACGCGGATCCCGCGCGGTTTCTCCTCAGTATAAACCGGCAGCGCGGTTTGCTTTGAATACTTAACTGAACGCCGTGTTGATGCCGAAACCAAGAGAATGCGATATCGGCGAGCGGAGTACGTAAGAATCATTGTTAGACTACGTAACGATCAACGTGAGAACCCTAGTAAATCCATTACCTTTCGCGGTGTCTACTGGGATACAGCATCGGTGGATTTTAGTTCGACGCTACGGAGTCTAGCTGCCTGAAGCGCTTTTTCGGCTCCTTGGTATCTGGTACCTACAACTTTCAAATGTACTGCTTATTCAGCGGTCAGGCACTTACTAGATGGGCGTGAAACTGGATACTAAAATTAATAACAAGTTATTTTTATTTGTCCCATTTCGATAGTAAAGCTACAACCGTCCGTTTTGCAGTTAACAGTGTACAAAAAATTTTCTAGGTACAGTACTTGTGGTAGCTACAGAGTGCAGCAGTGTCAGAGAATTCTATCAATCAAATACGAGGCATTTGTCTTTCCGTTTTCCGGACTGTTTGCCGGGCTCTACTGTCCTTTACTTAAAAAACCGTGTCCAGAAAATTGAATTTACAACATTTGTGTGTGCAGCAATACGATAACTGCGATTGCGAAAAATGAATGCGTGTTTGAATGCGAATCGTAAGTGAAAAGTGGTGAAGTCGTAACTTAAGGCCCCCACAGACTTCGGTTTGTCACACGTTTGAAATGATTGCCGTGAGTGTAGAACAAAACTGCTTGCTGCAAGGTGAAGCGTTTCAAGCAAATGATTGTGAGACAAATGAATGTGAGACGATTTGTTTGAAACTACTCAATCCCATATACTTCATGGCAAACATGAAGCAAGCCCTAAAAGTAGGCGGTCCATGGGCTGGTACTGCAGTCCAAGACCGGCACAAAGGGCGCTGGACGTATAATTCTATTATTATTGTATTATATTGTGTGTGTGTTCGCATTTCACAAAAGTCCGCACAACACTAAAATTTACATTCCTTTTTAATAAACTTAATTGTGCATAAAATATGGAAGGTGTGCGTAAAAAAAACAGTAAAAAGCGCATTGCCTGTGTGGTTTGGCATTGGTGCAGTGCTCAGCATATTTGAATCGCGTTTTTATAAATCGTGCACTGTATATGCGCCCAATGAATTTGGACAGGCCACGTTCCAGCGAGTTTTATCGCACCGTTAGTGATTTGCGGGAAAAAGATCTGGAGCGATTTTTTTCATACTTTCGCATGTCACCTGCTCAGTTTGACAAGCTGCTGAAGATGGTTGGGCCGAAATTGTATTATCTTCGCCGGCATCGTTTCCCAATTCCACCGGAAGAGCGGCTTGCGATAACGCTAAAACTGCTGGCTACTGGCGCTTCACAAATTGATTTGGCCACCAGGTTTTATATGGGCTCCAGTACTGTCGCAGATATCGTGAAGGAAGTTTGCACGGTAATCTGGGAAGAGTTACATCGCATATATTTACCTGTCCCGACGGAAGCCATGTGGAAAGAACACGCCAAAAATTTTGCCTTTAAATGGAACTTCCCTCACTGTTGCGGAGCTATTGACGGGAAGCACGTAGTTATCACAGCGCCACCAAATTCTGGAAGTGAATATCGCAATTATAAATCCACTTTCTCTATTGTGCTGATGGCTGTTGCGGATGCAGACTATCGATTCATAGCGGTGGATGTTGGTGGCTTTGGGCGACAAAGCGATGGCGGTACGTTTGCAAAACGGAAGTTAGGACAGTATATCATCGACGGCACTGTTGCGCTTCCGGGTCCGGAGAAACTTCCCGGAAGTTCGCTTGTGGCACCGTATGTTTTTGTGGCCGACGATGCATTTCCCCTTGGCGAGCATATCGTCAAACCATTCGGCGGAGAAAACGTTCCACTCGAACGAAGAATTTACGACTATCGTCAGTGCCGCGCTAGGCGGGTTGTTGAAAACACTTTCGGCATTATGGCTAACCGCTGGCAAATTTTTCATCGGACATCTCATTACGGCCCTGTTATGATGACTACAATAACTCTCGCCTGTATTGTACTTCACAATTACCTGCGTACTAAAAAGCTGTTGGAAAACCTTTGCGTGATGCTAAAAAGGGAGCCACAAACTGCATTGCGTCGAAGTATTTCCATTTCGGGTTAACTGGAGCACCAGAACCAGTTGGTTTGGGCTTAGATGCACGGCGGAATGATGTATATAAGGTATTCCATTTCTTTTTGCACGTTTCCGCCGGAAAGTTGATTTCAAGGCCAATCGCTTTCCACGCGTTCCGCTTCATCGGTAGCTTTTTATATGTGTCATCAGTCCGGCACCAAAGACAAGGATTGCGTCACTGTGGTCAGCACGCCCGCATTGGCTAGTGGCCTTCAAACATGCTTGAAGAGGAACGATTTCCCCTCCCCCTTCAAACACCGATTTTTTGTGTGACAAACGCCTGTTTGTCACACAGTTTTCGATTCCCCACATACATTGTTTGACATGAGTTACACTCATTGAATTACGGTTTCTACACATACTTGCGTCAAACATTGCTTGACACTCGCTTCAAACGTGCGACAAACCGAAGTCTGTGGGGGCCTTTAGTCGTTGTCTGGGCTGCAATGTACGAGTAGATCTTGAGACATGTACAATCGCACCATTCCCTATGATAATAGTACTCGTAGTCTCGTTCAGTCCTTAAGCATAGATTAAGAAATGTCCCATTACATCGTACGGTTGGTACCCAACGTTTTGTTTGGAGTTTTCGATCCGTGTGGCATTGAACCTGGCACAACCCAGTGCCAGATCGCACTGCAGAATCGACAAAATTCTGACCGGTATTCCTTGCTCATAGCAAAGAGAACCACCTGCAATACTGATCCATTTTTGGGAAAAATTTCAGTTGACGGCATATATCAATTTGCCACAAACTGCCGAACAAGTACAAATAAAATGAGCGAACGTACCGGATTTACAACGTATCCCAATAGTTGTACAATTCCCAGCAGCAATATGACGGGCGTTCTGACGAGGTACGGTGCCACGGTTAAGGTCACCGGCAGAATCGAGTAGCAAATCAGATTCCAGGAGAACGAAGCAAACATCATGTTGGCTTTGCTTACGCGTCGGACCTCGAAGATTCTCGATCGGCGTCGGTTGTACTCTTCCGAAATTTCAGCAACTGTCTGAACAATATTACTGACATCGCTAATGGTCCGTGGTCGCATGCGCATACGTTGCATCATCAACATCCGCACATAAATGGCGGCGTAGCAAGCACCGGCTGTAGCTAGAGGCATGCAGTATCCCGCAACGAACGCCAAGAGACCAATGATGTCCTTTTGTCTAATGCTACAGGCTCCGATCGGTAGCACGAAATGCTGCACACCTAAATTAATAAATAGTTACAATGTACATTGCCTAGCTATATAAAGACATGCTGCAATTCGTAAAGTATCTATTTATTGGGCAAAGGCCATCAATATAACAAAAAGTGCATTCGCGTAACACTACTCAAAATGATACAAATTCAAACGTTAAAAAAACAGCCAAAATCGTTATCGCCGTCGAAAAGTTAATGTGGAGAAAGAATACTGTAATTTAAAATATTTATATTTCTCCTTGCGGCTGCTAGGACAAACTATAGCTAACAGTGGTCATTAAGTTGCTTCCGAGAAAGAGAGTGCGCCAAAAGGACGCTTCGTCGTAAACAGAAACAGGAAGAGTAAAGTGTGGTTGCCGGTTGGTGTATCTGTTTTATCCTGCACGACATTTCACGTTAGCAGTTGCAAACAAATTTTGTGTTCTTCCTTAACTGAATAGATGGTAAACATTGCTCAGTTTTTGTCGGATAAATACTTAAATTAACAAAATATTGGCTTTTACAGTTTTTTTTCCCTATTTTTAAAAATTATGTAATTATTTCTATGCGGTGTGTGCTATACGAAGTTGGTGTACAATTATGAACGTATTTCTCAGTGAGCAAACTAAAGCGCGCATCTCAAAAATAAAACATAGAAGCGGCACCATGATTGATATGACCACGACCAGATAATGCATAAAAGGTCAGCTGTTTACTGACGCGCACAGCAGCGTTAACGCGTTTACCTAAATCGAAGTAACCGAAGGACCCAAGACCGAGCGCACCCGTCCATAGCACCGCAATCGTGGCGTACTCTAATTTCTCCCGGGAAAACATCCGGTACTTATAAGGAAAGCACAGAGCGACAACGCGATTGCTGGCAATGTACACCTCCATCCAGTTGCTAAAATACTGATCACTTGTCTGCAGCCACAAGTAAATACCTCCTAATCATATAAACAATTCTGCTTCCGCGTTTTATGTACATAATCAGCCACATCGACTACTTGGACGAGTTGACCTTTCAAAGCAAAATTTATTATGCGCCCGTATATAAGTAATCATGTAACGCAAAATCAACACAAGCACACGTTTACCAAAAGCGAATGAAATGTTTAGCAGGAAAAGTGGGAATAATCTACCTTGACGATGCGTACCTGGGGTCACAGGTGCTGCAATTAAAATGCGCATGATTAGCCTGTACGAGGAAGTGGGGTTAAAAAGTGCACGGGTTACCGGTAATAATAACGCAAATCAGAAATACGATCTTGAGCTGGTAAATATGACATCGCATAAGAATTTCTCCAGTGTGTTGATAATATTATTAGACAAGGAAATAGGAACGTATTTCCTGGAGACACGTCGAGCACGGAGGAAAAAGTGCAATTTCGGCAACCGATTTCTTTTTATTATTAACTTTCGGGCAGTAATTGTAGTTTGTTAATTACCTGACCGACACGTTTACCGCTCTAAACATGGAGAATTTGTAAATCCAGGTCACGTACGATGATCGTTTGGCGACAAAAAATAACACGCATAACATGTCTGTAAAAAACGCGATACATTTTGTGATAGTTAATACTTACCTATCTGCTTTCGACGTGTCGTACCGACAGGAATAATGGCCTGAATAACGAGCAATATAAACTAAGCAGAAAACTCGGTAAAATAATAACATTCAAGAATGATCCCTTATCGTCATCGATACTTCTTAGGAGGTCTCAAGTACACTATTAATTAACTACAACCGCCGGCGAACCGTTTCTGCATTTGAAAAGCGGGAGCTGCATTTGAAAAGCTGCATTTGCACCGGTTGTCGTGCGTGTAAACCGCTAGATTTCAGTCGTGACAGCCCAAGTGGTCGCGGGACATTTCGTCGTGGGACATTTCGCCACACGTTTTTCGTCGCAGCGGCCAATGTGTTTTGAGACAACTCGTTTTGTGGCCGTTTTGTTGTGGCACATTTGATCGCGCGACTCTTGGGGTGTCGAAAAATTATCGACTGGTATATGGCAACGAACTGTCATATGACTATTTGCCACAAAAACAAAAACCAAATGTCCCGCGACGACCTGTCGCGTAGCCATTTCAGTATCTCAAATCCGATTCATCATATTAAACAGCCGCTTGTTTTACTTTCAGCTTTCACTTTCAGGTTTATACTGCATAATAATATCAGAAACATTCATAAGGATAATTTAATTTTTGAGACTGAAGTCTAACAGAAACGATAGAGTAGCAGTTATGTTTCCTCGTGTCGTGTCGTTTCATCGAGAATGGACAGTGACCGTATACTCGTACAACATAAAGGTATTCAGGGTTAGACAAGAACGTGCATAAAAAATCATCACAGTTCTAATATTCCAATAATAAACAGAAGAAATTCCAGTCTGTATTGTGTTAGTTATATTTGCACATAAATTAAACAAACATGAAAATCCAGGACTACAATTACAAGTAGCTAACAAAAGACTCGCATCACAACACTCGGAATAAACGACCAGACACTGAAATTGACAAATCATTCTTATACGTAAATCTCTTCAAAACAATAAGCTGTAGTCAGCACTGAAATGTGAAACCCATAAATACAGTTAGTAATACTATCACTAAATTATCCACTCTGAACTGTCTGTGTATCAACGAGGAAACACAAGAGCAAATGGGGCTAAGCATCGACCCTGAAATAAAAAAATACGTACAAACAAATCACACCATTAAACTATTAATAAAAAATTCCTGAATTACGAATTCAAAACGGATCGGCTAATAAAAACAGCAATTACTTACGGTAATACACTCATTCCGAAGCGCCCATCACGCAACTAAAGCCATCCGAAACCAGCTCGAAAAAACTGTGCCGAAAAGAAGCGCGATAATAGTGCCCACATCGTGATCTTCCTCAACGATCCCAATTTAGGTATGCTGGATAGCTCCCTCAGTTGCGCAATGTTTTCGTCACTGAATCGCGTTTCTCCAAACTGAACTTTCCTCATTATCTGCAACACACAGCCCAACATGGAAAGGTAAATATTTTAAAATCATTACTCATAATATAATTAGGTAAGTGTATTTTATTGACCTGTGGCACAAGTTTTTATGCACAAACTGAAAACATCACAATTTCTAATAACATAACTGCATTACGTTGTAAGAGAGAAAACAAACAAATGCATTAGCAACCGCATCAAAAAAGTAATATCAGAAAGTCAAGCGTTACACAAATGCTCATTACGTATTCAAATTATAAACAATAAGATAAAATAAAAAACCCAAGCACACTGAATTTAAAAACGTCCAGAAATAAAAAGCAAAAAAGTAAGTATGATACTGATTAATAGTACTTACACCTAATAAAAAGCTGAATTGCGATAAGCGGACAAACAACCCATAAAAAATAATAGGAAAAAATAATTTTTTACCTGCAGAACCGCTTCCCGATACATTTCCGAGTTCCAGTCCATCTGCAGGCGCAGCTCCAACTGTCCCACAATCGCCTCCTCCATCGCGGGACACCATTGATCCAAACCCAACAACATGGCCACCTTATTTTTCGGCTGCAGAATTACCCGGGGCACCTGCAGCGCTGTCGACTCGGAATACCACATCTCCATGTCATTCAGCACCACCTTCTGACACACCTCCGCCCACCGACTCGTCAACTCCACCTCCGCCGTCTCATCCCACGAGATATTCCCCCAGTTCCCGAACAGATCCGCCCCGCACATCAGCCCCCCGGACAGGACCACGAGCGGCACACGCAGTCCCTGCATTGTCAGCAGATCAATGATGGTCGACAGGGAATCGGTTAGGACGCGATCCAACGCGGGCCGCTGCACCGCCCGCCCTCCGGTGATCACCAGGCACTTCGTAAAAGCCGACACCATCCGGAAGATGGCCGTGGCTAAGGGACGGTAGCCGAGCGCGGCTGTGTAGCCGAGGGTCTCCCAAATCGATGTGGACGTAGAGATGGGGGGAGGTGAGGAGGTCGTTCCAGGCGTGGCAGACGCGACGGCAGGTCATCTGCTCGTCGACGTTGAGATGGGAGAAGATCTCGCTCATGCTCATCATGTCAAGCATCGTGATGGGCGGATCGATATCGTCGTCTTCGCTGATGAGAGATAAAGAAGACGGAGGCCGGCTTATCATTTGTTGATCTTCGGGAGATTGCTGATATCCATGTGGAGAAGAACGATTCTCCGCGGCTGCACATTTCGCCTTCATACGACGGAGAGTATCCGTCTAAACAGAATAGAAAATAGAAGCACAAATACAGAGTCGAATGAATATACGGATTACGGCGTAAACTGTAAAACAGAGACCTCTAATAACCAGGACTTCAGCAGTACAATACTAAAATTTTTAAAGTAACATCTTCGGTTACCCTCTTTCGTCTACACAGTGCGCTTACTGTATGTTCTGATAAAAGTTGCAAGGATTAACTGATTAATACAGAGGTTCACAAAAATGAAATCACAAATGAAGTTGAGACCGATTGTGAAAACTTTAGAAGCATGTAACGGGAAAATAGTAACAGCAGAACAAAACTGTTCCTACACTATGAAGTTTTGCTGTTATTTTAGTAAGGCTACTTATTGGGTTATTCGAATCAACAAATGATTAAAGAGATTACGTATTACATCAGAGAGAACATCACGTATTTTAGTAAATGGTTGCGCATATTAAAAACACTGTGCATGTGCTTTGTGCGGAACGACACAGCGGAATTTACAGACACTGTTTTAAAAAAAATGATATTTAACTGAATTTAGTTGTCTTGACTCCTATAGTTAAGGACAAATCTATCTCTAAAATACTTAGTAATATTAGAATGTGTATGTTTCAAACTATTTATCGTAATGATTCAAAATATTCACTGGATATTCCAATAAACGAATCCGCTTAGGTTTTACGACGCATTTTACGGAATAATGTTTTGAAATAATTCCATAAAATTATTCCGCAAAATTCGGAAACCGATAAATTGACAAAGGCGTGCGTTTAACGGTTTACGTAATGGATAAAATTAACAGCCTGAATACAAGCCATACGTACACATATGAACAACCGATAATATTTATACAGGCACAATACAGCAGATTACAACATTCATGCAACAGCATTACATAAACACAGCCACCAGTTCGCCACACTTACAATCTGTGAGGTCCGCAGTTCATCCCAGCTTTCCGACAGATACTCCAGCGTCCACTTCTCCGTATCCAACGTCACCACCCGCGTATCCGTCATCTCTTCCCACAGCTCCACAAACTCCTCCACCCCCGCCACCCCCACGTCACGGGGACTCTTAATGGGCAGCCTCACCCGATATTTCTGGATTTCCGCCACACAGCCCTTGTTGGTCACCCGCGGGGGACTAGGCTTCTGCGAGCGCCGTCGCACCCGTCCCACTTCCAGCACGCGGCGAATGCTCTTCCCTTCACACTCAATGTCCACGACGGCGTACGTCGCCAGGGACCCCCCGGCCAGCAGGGTGGAGGGGTACCAGCACCAGGGATCCGTCGGGGACAGGCGCATCAAAGATTCCACGGGGAGTCCCGTGTGGTAGGATCCCGTGCGCTGCACCTGCCCCAGGAAGGCGGCGAAGATGGTATGCGAGAAGATGATATGGGCGGTGAAGGGGATGAATTCCGCATCGTGGCCGGGGTAGTGGAAATCGACGATGAAGCCCTGGTAGGGTAGCAGATCGCGCACGATACCGCGACGGATGCGGCCGTGCTCTTCGTCGTCGAACACGTCGATCGCGCACCAGCGCTTCACGGCCCTCGCGCCCATCAAGCTAATAGTAGCATAATTTATGGTTTAAATTATTAATTTATAACATAGAAAAAATGCATAAGATAAGTGTAATAAGTCATGGAAAAACAGCTGACAAGAAGTGGAAAAAGTATTTTGGAAAGCAGCTGCAAAAGCTTGCTCGTTGCACGTTGCACTGTTTACACTTTACAGCTTACGCTGGCTGAAATCTAGGGTTGCCTGGCAGTTGACATTGACAATGTGGCCAGGGAAAAGCCAAGTAACGCACAGCGCGAGGCGATGGTGTCCTACGAGGCTAATGCTTGGCCTCGTGTGCCGCATTGCTGTACCGCTACGTTTAAAAATCTTCTTTCAGACTTCCTTTTCGGATCATTCGTTTAAGAATTTTCCGGCAGGCGGTGGGGTTGCCACTGCGACAGAGAGTGTTTAGCACCCGAGACCATATGGCTCTGTTGTGTAGAATTTGTAAGGGTAGTCTTTTTTGTAGAAGCAGTAGTTTAGCCATATGTGTCCTGTCAAGGACGATTTTCGGGTTGGGTGTTTCGATATAAATGAGGCCGCTTTTAAAGTTCTCTGACGAAATGATTTTGGATTGGAAGTTATCGGATGGGGAGGTAGGTATTTGCTGGTGATCGGTGGTTTTGTGAAGTATAGTGTAATGTGGGTATATAAAAGGAAATCGGAGTGCGGTGGAAATTTAGTTGGTTAAGGGAAGTTGTGAGAAGTTTGTTGTCTGGATTGTGTTGTAAGATCTTATTTGATAGTTTGATAGTAAAGGTTGTTGTAGTAAGGTGGAGAGTGATTTGGAGTGCCTGGGAAGAGGTGTTTGAAGGGAATTTGGCAGATCTGTGACAAGTAAGGAATATTTGTTTATAGTGAAATTTTTTTTAATTATTGTTAATTTTTTAATGTATTTTGTTTCTTAAGTTAAATAGATTAAGAGATATTAAGGAATAAATAGAGTATTGGTTGGCTTTTGACTTTATGGCAGTGTGGTTTAAAAGGAAAGTTTTAAGGAGGTTAGTCAATATTTTCTTGCAATTTTATTCAGTATATCTGTATATTCAGATGTTTGGTGTGTAGATGGCACTAGATGCTGTTGAGAGTACGTTTATAAAGTAGGAAAACTAGGTGTGCATTGGCAGACCGGAGCGCAGCAGCTTTTCGCTTGTGTGAAAGATAAATAATTTTTAACGTGCTACCAGTAGCACTTTTAGTACTTAACATTATCAATAATTTAACCTACAAATATAACGAGCTAGGAACATTTTCGTAATGACCTTTGGTAACAACCTTTCGTAACGAACACAGATACATTTTTGCATTGGCGCTGAACTTAGAAGACTTTCGGTACGATTTCAGAAAGGAAATTGATTTGATTTTACGAAAGATTTTTTTAAATGTTATATCATCATTCAGTTTCAGACTGTCAAAAAAAGTTGGAAATGAGTGATTTGGATAGGCGGAAGTTAAAATGAAATTATCTTAAGGTATAGTGAGTTGATTAATAGGGTGGTAGAAATAATATTTATGTTAATAAATGATGAAAGATATTATGTAAGAAAAGGAAAATAAGGAATATATGAAGGAAAATATAAAATATATTACGGAAAATATGGAAAAGGATATTGTGGTTAAATATAGAAAGAATAAGTGGCATTATTGGAAATTTATTTGGCATTATGGAGCTATGTTGTGCAGATATTGTAGTTGATAAAATCAAATTGAAGAAACAGGTGGATGTAGTGTTCCGTATGGTTTATTGTATAGTATATGGTGCGTATAATGTGCTGTAAAGTTGACTGGTTTTATGGTTTGAATCTGGGTATATTATGGAGTAAATATAGTTACGGATGAATGATTATTTGTGTGGGAATAAGATATTTTGAAGAAACAGGTGGGTGTAACGATCCGTATGATGTGAAGTCTGTTGTATTTAGGGATTTTTATTTTACTAAAGCTGGTAAATATTTTGAAGAATCAGGTGGGTGTAATGTTCCGTATCATTCAGTATTTTAGGGTATTTTGATCCGTTTTGAGATTGGCAAGTGAAGCTGGAGTTATGAGAGACAGGTGGGTGCAATGTTCCGTTTAGAGGTTTACAAATGTTTTTTATTGTAGATTAAAATCGGAAAAATTTGGAGAACATGATTTTCATTCCGATTTTTGTTCAGGTTGTTTGGTTGTATGTTGGAGTTGTTTTTGTATACATGCCATTTCAGGTGTATGGTCATTATTGGTAAGAGTTTTATTTTAATTTGATTGTGCAAAAATTTTTATTTGCTGGTTTTTTATGGTATTGAAAGGAAAGTGGGGGACAAGAATTTGGGTAAGTTATACAATGATGGAAAAAAGAGGTGTTAAGCGAAAGTGTGAAAAGAGTAAGAAACCTAAGAAACCTTAGAAACAGATAAAAGAACAAATATGTGACAGTTAATATCTTAATAAAATTATGGTTAATTATTATTCTTGACTGAGCCGAAACCATCGGAAGTTACATTTGTCTACAAGCCAATAACTGTAATTACGATAGTCATGAAGCATAAGGTCATAATTTATATTATAAGTTCTTTTGTTATTATAGTTGCAAATCGTTGACGACAGTGGTGTTGTGGATGTTGTGGGATATAATCAAATTCAACAGCAATTATTTGGACATTCAGCTGCTGCGCATCAAAGCGGATTGATTGGGATTCACGATTTCTCAGCTATGAATAACAAAAGTTATAATTTTTAATTTTTATAAAATATTCATATAGGGTCGGAGCAAAGAAACAATCAGCATAACGTATATGGAAGAAAAAAAGCCAGGTATAACCTTTTTTACGAGAATAAATTAATTATTAATATTCCAAATTAATAATGAATTTTTATTTTGATAGACGAAATTCCAGGAAGTGCTATGGATATTGTTGTCACTGACGACAATACAACCGTACTGCAGCTTGAATCCAGCAAACGATCTTTTGGTAAGAATCTAAATATAATTATTAATTTAAAATTTATTTTTCTAAATTTATTTATTTACCATTTATTTGCTTATACAGGAACTCCGAAGAAACGAAATAAATGAATGGAATAGCATGAACCGTTGCTTTTACTTTGAGATGGACCAATCGTTTCCATTTTTATTGTTGTTATTTGAGCGATTCATCAATTTATTACCGCTATTATACCATTTTTTCTAAGTGCATTATAGTTATCTGTGGTATTATTATCTGACAGTGGTGGTGCGGTATTATTATCTATGTGATGTAGTTATGTTGAATTACTCGTTTAATACTTGAAAAGTTTGTATCTTAGTATTTTGTTATTTTGTATTGGTTTTGTAGTAATTAACTTTTAAAGTCACCAATAAATAAAGGACGAAATAAATAAGGCAATTTCTTTGTTTTCAAGTTTGAGTAGATCATAATATTTTATAAATATGCGACCTACTGAGTCCAAGTAACAACTTACTGGTAGCTGAGAACCTTTAATAATTATCATGGTACGAGTACAAAATATGCATCAGAACAAAACGGCCTTAACGAAAAGAACAGTTGTATTATGCTATCCTGATCGGGAATCATACCGATTACACAAACCGAAAGTCAGCTGATGTGTGGTAACAATAAGTGAAAATAAAATTAAAAATTAAGATGTGTAAATTTAAAATATGCGTCCAACTGCGGCCAACCAGCATTTACTGCCAGCTGGTAGGACGTAGTATTTAGAGTCAGGTGTGTGTTATAAATATGCGCCCAATTGCGCCCAACCAACAGTTACTGCCAGCTCGTAGGAGGTAGCAGTTAGAGTCAGGTGTGTGTTATAAGTATGCGCCCAACTGCGCCCAACCAACACTTACTGCCAGCTCGTAGGAGGTGGGATTTAGAGTCCGGTGTACGTTATAAATATGCTCAGTTAGTTTATGTATGTTATAAACTAACTGAGCTGCGTCTCTATCAGAGTCCTACGCACAACCATACTTCCAACTTCATTAACCATTCTTCTTCATTAACCAACATCCAATCAATTATACAAACACCAGGTGGCGCTTCTAACTCTTAAACCGCCTGCCACTTGGCCGCCTCCCCCGAGGTGGCCGCCCGTTAGGTGTTTTGGATTGAGAAGCCTACAAGAAATGTTTGCAAGTGTTGGTTGCTCAGCAGGGAACACATCATTGAACGGACGCGAGCTCCAAAACCACTGGAAAATGGTCAGACACATTTTATGCTCTTAACGAAGGCTTAACTGCAGCATTTCGCTGCGCTCGATGCAAATAAATTAAAGTAAGCGGTCATTATTTGTGAAGCAAAATGCGAACACAAGCTGGAGCGAGTCTTGAAAGAATAAGTACTGAAGCACATGAAGATTTAAGCATGCAGGACTCTCATATAATTGTAAGGGTACAACTACAGCTAGTAGAAGGATTTCCGGGAGCCGATTCCGCTACCCTACAGTGTAGATCTTTAAGAAATAAATGTTTTGAGAATTCAGGAAATTTTGTTGTTAATACGATAAAGTCGCGGTATGAATTTGTGTAGCTCGTTACATTGAAGATTTCTTAGATTGCTTATCCGGTAAGCGTTCAGTATGAGATGATAATAGGAGTATTCATTATAATTATGCTTGTAAGTTTTCAATGCAGCCAGTTTAATAATCTCCGTTCTGTATTCATTGTTTGCCGGTATTCGATACAGTAATTATACCGTAATACTGCAACATTTTTCGGAACCATTACATTTTACTTATTCACTTGTTAAAACATCGTTGGTTTCTCTTTGTTTTTGTGTACCAACGTAATTATACGTTCCTCTATCAAGTGCAACCGTACAGGCGATTAATCTTAGTAATGTCAATCTTGGAGAAATCGATGCGCTGTCCCAAGACTACTTTCGGTCCTCCTTTCGGAATAATGGTCATGACGTTTTTGTCCTTAGCGAATGCATAGGCACCTAAAAAGCAAGCAGTACACGTACCTTGTAAAACCTTTCTCTCAATAAGAACTGCAAGCTTTTCATCGATACCAAAGTACTTGGTTTTTCAGTTTCTTGTAGTGAAATAAAAGCTTACTGTAATGCATAACTGATTCCACATCATACGGTTGGTCCAGAATAGTTGCATCTTCCCACCCATGAACGACAAAATTGTTCATTTTACCGTCTTCAACGTTGTCTTCGTTGATTGTTACGAAGCGATCACGATCTGGTCGGCTTTGCTCGTGCCAGAATCTGCAAATCTTCAGGCTTAGGAACGAACAAATTTGTGATGATGCAAATTACGTGCGTCATGCATACATAACAAAACTAATGTAATAAAAACTGCATATATAAATTTTTACGTAACGAGTAAAGGTCATTATGAAAGTAAAGCTGTACTTCTATAATAGTTCTATTAGATGCGAACGTACCCAACGGCATGCAAAATCTCGTGAAGAATGGTACCGCGTGACATACACCCTGGTGATTGAAGATTGAGTTGCTGTGCTCCTCGTCCAAGGCGGCCAACGTATGACCAGCATCTACGGATGATGAGTAAGGGTCAAATGAGTAACCTCCGGTCAACCGATCAAACGTCACTTGCTCATTCAGCATTATAATTTTAATAGATTTGAAATGTCACAAAATAAGTATAGATAGAGAAAGAAGCAGCTATTGCGGATGTACATAAAATAATCAATGACAAAATGGAAGAACGTATATTGCAACAGACATTACTGTTCTGCAGAACTTGCCCGGAATTTTCCCGCGTAATGTAAATGTAATCATCCATCCATGCAGGTCGATCAGGCAAATCGGGCAAGGGAACAAGCCGAATGCAGGTCTTCCTGTGATATTCGGCAATTCCCTGCAAGTAAGTATTTATTTATATTAATTAATCCTTCCTTCGTTTTAAAATTAATAGCGTAGAAATACTGCAGTCAGTGCAGCGCAAACATGAAGCACAGTACAGGTTTTCCATTCAAAATTATTAATTTTACCATTAGGGAGTTCGTTAACGTATCAACTAATGGTCATGGTAATTCCTGCTTGTACTCTGTATTACCCAGTGGGGTTTTAAATTCAGTGTGCGGCCTAGTAATGCATTAATTACCTCTTCAATCTTATACCGCTCTTCTAAATCGAAATCATCACTGATTACATAAGGGATGGTGCGGTATTTCCATAAATAGTTATCGTCGACTCGTCCATTGCGCGCTACCTGTATCGAATAATTTTTTTTATTACCCGGCATGCACCGCAAAATTCTTTGGTTAAAGTGCGGCTAGCGTTCCGCCATTCAGAAAAAATTCTCTACATCGAAACTGTTGGCGAATCCTTTAATGTCCCCTTCAAGCAAATCTGAAAACAAATCACAAATGGACGTTCATAACATCTAGCCGCATCGTCAGTCAAAGAATCCGAAGTACAAAATAAACGCACGACCATAGTAATTTATTATTAATTAGCTACAAAAGTTGTTGCACTGTTATTCGTTCTTTAACGGGTAATAGAAACTTTACATCAACCATGGAGGCATTATCGCTAATATCTACCGTCGTTGTATTCGCTTCCACTGCCTTCCTGTTCGCGGACCGGCTAATAATGAAGGAAACGTAAACAAACTTTTAAAAATATGGTTGTTTGGTTTGTTTAATTTTACGATAGAGCATACCAGTGCATGGTTTCCACTCCACGGAACGATCGCACCAAGTAGAAGCACCCAGTACAATTGCATTTTCACTGCGGGTCGCCTGTAATCTCAAACTTAATGTCTGTACTCGTATTCCGGGTTGAAAAACGATAGTTGATTTTCCAAAAACGTGTCTTATGCAAAATAGTAAGGCAGCAGTTCTGTACTCGTGATCGCTCCGCGTGCGTTCTTACCCGTCACTCAACAGCGACTCCAATCAACTACCGTTCAACAGGCGCAGTTTCCCGACAGAGTAAGAGTACTATTTGTTATGGGAAAATTATTTAGTGTACGCCTTTTGTTCTTATTATCTTATCGCGATGACATTTGTAATTAACAATAAAATATCAGCGGTTTGATAAGCAGCGTTAAACTGCACCACTTGTTTAAGAATTCAGATATGTACCGACAGACAGTACCGTACAAACACTAACGTGCAATACGGTGATTTGAGCAAATGGCGACAACTGCAAGTTGCAACTGAATAAAACAGCCATAAAATACATAAGAACAAAATTTTTGTGCATCGTTTTTTGGGGGTCCCGTTATGCATCTACTAACATATTACTGAAAGCAGGCGCAAAAGGAAACCTTTTTCAGGAAATCGCGTTTGAGTGACATCAGAGGAGAAAATACACTTTGACAAAGAGATCCAGCGCTTTACACGTAAAAATATCGGTAATTAATATTTTTTATTGACTTCTTCATAAGTTGGCGGAAAATCAGAATCGCTTTTTTCGGTCACAGTCGTTAGCATATTTCTCGGTTCATAAACCATAAAGGTAGTGGACGGTGCGGCTTCTCGGGGATACGGCAGTGAAGCGGCAGGATACGGCAATTGTGGCAAGCGATTGCTTGGCGTGAAAGCGGTCATCTCGTGTTCCGGGGCAGACGCGGGTGCGCTGTAACCACCCGGTGTCACCCCGGGTTGTACAGGCGGCTCACGCTCTTGTTTGGCAAACGCCCCAGATCCTTTCTCATGCACAAAGAGCTGTGTAATCAGCACGACGACATCCATAATCGCCATCAGCATTCCACAGCCCATACCCGCTGGACCAGCGAGGGAACCGTATCCGTCTACGCTGCCCTCCATAGCCATACCGCTGTGAATGACACTGCCGATGCTGACAAACAAAGTGATTATCAACGCCCATGTCCAGCCGCGAAAGTACTTCTTCCAGCGCTCTGATTGGACGGTGTCCAGACGGCTATGCGCCATCTGTACAATGCACGATCGGATGTAGCCAACGATTCCGACGAGAGCAAGAAACAGCGTCCAACCGGTTAACAGGGCAAACCCTTCCAGAACGTTCGATTCATTATCTTCACCCATTGCTGCAGTACATAAAAAAGATGGTCAATTCATCAATTTCGACTTACTATGACTCGATTCTTTGTCCGCTTTTCTTGAAATTTATAAGCGCAGGCTTATCTGGTGTATACTGAGTGGTGCCGAATAAAGCAAATGAAAAAAGGTAAAAAACCGAGTTGATAATAGTCATTTCTAAGTTGTCCGGAAAGCCTCCAATATGTACCTGACTAGCTGTTACTGGCTCTATGTTTACTTCAGCATTAGGACAAACGGGACGTGCCTTTATGGTCAGTACACAACTACTGTACTACAAAATACTATAACGACGGAATTTGAGAATTGCGGTACGTACTTACCTGCTGTGATAATCAAAACAACAAGGATGGATAGCCCCAGGGTTAACTGTGACAATGCCATAAATCCAGCCAAGCGCCGGTTGTACATTGGCTCATTCGTAACCGGAAACCAAACGTATCCACTGCCCATGTCGTGTAGTAACCGGATAGCCGCTTGTAAGTTAGATCTGATATCTCAAAACTGAGCGTAAGCAATCGGTTCTTGCTACAGTACTGTTGTAACTTTACAAGGAAATGCTACTTTTACAAAGGGCCTAAGGAATTTTCGTAAATCCGAATTGCTACCAAATACTCGTCTGCATTTGCAGATTTGTTAAAGTGTGGAAAGAGTCTAGACTCAATACCACAATGTACGACTATGTACGTTTTGATTCCTGCTTTCGACGCTTGACTTGAATAGTCACGTCTACATTGGTGCTACAGTAGCACTGCTACTTTGTATTCACGCAGTACAGTTCAAGGTGCTGTTAAAATACAATATACATAAACCCCTTATGTACGCGATAAGCTGATAATTTGTTTTTGTTTGCTAATGTAATGGTCAATACAGTTAGCAGTTGCATTAACAAGCGAGCAAGTAATCATTTCTATACCCAATTGTTAATTGTTACAGTATCAGCATATAATTATTTTATATACACGAGTACTTCTATAATATTAGTTTTGTGTATTCGTTAAAAACATACACGTCAAGACGATTTGATTGCAGCCATTGAAACCGTATGTGGTTGACTGCGCGCGTTATACTATCAACTCTTCATGAGACTTCATCCTAAATTTCGATGATAGCGCAAACGGAAATTAACTTTCAGTATGATTATTATCGTGGTAGGAGGACTCGCCTGTTTCCAGAAAAATCATTTTTTCCGGTTAATAAGTTTACGTTCTATTCAGTTTCCACCGGGAACCAATCCGCTTCTTTGCAGGAAACTGCGATTATTACTAGGATTAGCCCAAACAGGTCAACGAATAATGCGCCGCGGTCAGCGGACATGTGGGAATCGTAGTTGAACGGTAACAGAAACTAAAATCTGCGCGTGCAAAACTCGATTCGTGCACCAGTATTACAGGAAGTGCGAGGTCTCAGCTCGGTGCACGAGCATATGTTGTAGACTTCTTAACTGTGTGCTTTTTAATAACAATTGACTTGAGTAGAGGTATGCATGCTTATAATGACCTGAGGTCTGATACCTAGTTACCCGCACTTGGGCAGCATCAATGTGCAGTATTAGCAAAGCGCGGTACGTTTGTACAATTTGTAACTCAGCTGATATTATTATGTATTTCTGTATCTCAAAGTTAATAAAAGAAATGTCAATCACGGGACTGGCAGTGACAGAATGACGATAATTTTGTCCCTTGAAGGACCACGCTGTTATAAGAGGTACCCTCATAGGCACTCGTTCCCACCCCATATATGTACTACATAGTACATGCACCCCTTTTCACCCTGTTTATCACTGGCACTCTTTATAAATTAAAAAGCATTCATTAAATTATAATTATTTAAAATATTAACTACAATAAAGGCTTATTGGAATTGTTTACTCCCAAAATGATTTGATAGTACAGTACTTGTACAGTGTACACATAAAACGCTATGCTAGCTAGTCTGTATAGCGTTTTGTGTGTACAAGATGCTATACCATCTTTTCTTTCAAAAGAAAAATTTGTCCTTGAGTGGTTTTCAAATGCAACGGCAAACTCAAAAATTGTTGCAGTCATGTTTGTTTCGCACAGAAATGTTAGGATAACGTAATGTCCATTGGTCGTCTTGTGTCCATCTGCACTTCCTCAGTTCGCCGGCTGTCACTGCTTTCACTAATGCTAGTGATCACTGCGGAGAAGGAAGGACCGCACAATGGACGAGCAACTCCCTCGATAAGACGGCGTCGATACTGGCGTTCGGTGAACAGGTAAATATAGAAATTCAACGAATAACCCATGTAAGTAACCACATCGATAATTGGATGCGCAAATCAATTCACACTTTCGTCGTCAATGTAAGGAAAGCTAGTGTGGGCCACTGTGTAATCACGGTTATTCGCGTAGGCTTTTGCACACAGGTCAAAAAATTTTAGGGTATGCGTGACGAGATACAGTAGTTGCTCAGCAGGATGATGTTGATTGTGTGCTGTGACTTGTTGTCCGAAGTGGTCCCGGATGCTGCCCTGTTAACTTTCTGTAAGCGGCGCATCTTTCCAAATTTGGACCGTTGTTGGCACACCTGGAATACAATCAGGATCACACTGGGAACCAGGATCAGCAAAAAAGTCAGGGTGCGAACCGCAGGCTGCCAATAATACAGATAATATGAAAAATTAGGTAATATTGTTCAGCAAAAAACACAGTTTCGTTTTGACTTAAGTTTTGTAATCAATAGTCTCAAACCTAGTATAAATTGATCATGACTCTAAGATTGCAGTAGGCGCGGTCACAGGTTTCGTACGTGTACATACGCCTGATTAACAATAAGTGTCATTCCACATGTCCGGAAACAATAATGACCGAATTTGATCTAGCCGAGGAACAGTTCAGAAGTGTTTGCAGTGGTATAAAGGGTGGCCTTGGTATTCTGTAGATGCGACCTGTACCTTACAAACGCGTTTTCGCAGTTTCTTGTGATAATACATAGTCAAAAGTTTATGTACATAAGCTTGCACTCGTAAATACAGAGTAGAGAATGCCAAAAGTGTTATTAGGAAGCATTCGGAAATGGAAGTAACCGTGCATGCTGAATTTGTTGATAAACACGAATTTGCTAAACGATTGATAATGTACCGGGTCATGCGGCAAAAGTGGGCGGTTGTTCTAGTCGCCGTTCTTTTCTGCTTTAGCTAGCCACGTACCTACTATTGCCTTATTATGCACTGCGTCCCATGGCAGAATCCATCCTGGAGGTTTCAAAACAAACTCTACAGGATCCATGTACCCGGAGAAAGAGCAGCAGTATGCCTTTACGACATCGAACGCATAACATGATAGCGATAAAACGAGCAGAACGACAATGGTAACGCGCGCTGCCGATACTCGTTGCAGAAATCGGAACCGGAAAGGACTCAAAATGACAAGCAGGCGTTCCCATGAGAACACAACAAGAATCCTGAAATTTTAATGGTGCTAGTGGACAGAAATAGGTGCATTGTTAAATTGCTAAACAGCCAGGATCTCACCAGTCGGAAACACTCATCGAAGTATCCGTAAACCATGCATGGACGCAACAGCTCTGTGCTGGTTAACCGAAAATCAATACTCATTTCTGGTTTCGACAAAAAATCTGGCAAACTGAGCCATCTGCAAGGAACAATGCTTCAACTCTGCGTACGAACAATTAAGATAAATAATAAACGCTCTGCTGACGATAATACACATTTTTAATCATATAAATTGTTTTAAAGATATATAGTTTGATTTATTTGCTGCTGGGTTTTAATAACTCACACTGCTATCAAATCAGAAATGGCAGTTCCAACCAGATAGTGGCATGCCGATGTCTTCCATTCTGGCACACTCCGCATGAGGACCATCAGATTTAGGGCGTTGCCCACTGTACACAGGATCAGCAGGCAGAAGTACAATAGATTGCTTGACAAGCCACAAAACCATTTTGCCTTTGACTGTCACTATAACGACCTTCCATGAATGGTAGTGGAAAGCCAGCTGTAGAGTTGCCTTCATGGCCTCCGCTGAACATACCACGGCTGCTATCGTTGATACTCGTATTAATTTTGCATTGCGGTACGGTAGCATTGTCCATCGTAAAACCGGCAGCGTATAATATCACAAGTTTCGATGCAACAATTAGCCAAACATTTTCCCAAAGTTCGTGGCCAAAAGTGAGATGATTAGTCAGGCAACTTCATTTTACATACAAAACTCTGAAATTTCTCCAGGTGTCTATAGCTAGTGGCTGCAGTTTGCAAGAAATTTGCCTTTGAATGCTTCGGAGAAGTTTTATCCCTGTGGCTAGGTAATTAATGTCTTTATTAATTAATTGCTCATTAATATGCAATCCGCCTGTGATTCCGCTTTGTCAAAAACAATACAACAACCGCCTGTTAATCAGTTTTGTTCATGCCTGTTATTGGGTACCAGCTACCAAGTACTAATACTGTACTTGCACTGCCACCTGCTTATTAATGATCTAGAGATTTTTTAATGATGACACATCAATGACACGAGAACTCGTATCATTACAGAACTTGTATCCGTACTAGTACGATTATCGGCTAAGGGCAAAAGGCAAGTATGAGAGCGTAAAATTAATGGTGGTGGTCTGTGGTACGGTTATGTACAATGCTTAAAGCAACCTGCAAGTAACGAGATCGCTAACGACGATCAAATTCCTAAGCTGGTTTTGGAAATTTTCATTAAACTAGGCAAAATAAGCGACAAATTGTTCCGACACATAAACATTAGGTGCGGTACAAACCAGCCCTGCAATGTGCCGTTAATCTTGCAGGGTCCACTCTAGCTTATTATGGTTTATTGTCCCCTAAAGCGGGGCGGCTGTGCCCTCTGCGAGTACTTAGGTTTACTAGGTTACAGTCACAGAAAAGAAAAAAGGCAGAGTGGTAGAAATTAGAGGCTACTACTCGTACAGATAGGTAGCTAGCTAGTAGCTGCTAGCAAGAAAACAGATTTACAACAACCGAAAGAAATAAGCACAGGCACTTTAATTTTCTGAGGAAGATTAAGCAGAGCAAATGATTGAGCTGTCTTAATTATTGATAAGAGATTACCAACAACCATCGGTTCGCATCCAAAACATACAAAGAATGTACTTATACCAATCATGTAACAAAGGTGTTATGAAAATAACAACCAGAACTATTATAATTCAAAATTAGTACCGCTATCGCTAACATTACCGTTAAATTTCGTTACCAGCACCAATGCAACTGAAGCCATTATCCTATCGGTACCGGTACCAGTACCGTTAACGGATAAATGAAGTTACCAATCCGTAACTACTAATGCAACACTTTTCCGGCCAGGAATATCGATGCTCGTTCCATAAATTTCCTTGTCGCCAAGTGCCGGTTGTACATTGGCTCATTTGTAACTGGAAACCAAACGTACCTATCCACTGCCCATGTCGTGTAGTAATTGGATAGCCTCTTGTACAGACAAGCGCTTGCACTGATATCGCACACCGCAACCTGCTAACCCCCTTCTTCACAAAAGGAATACTGCTTTTGCACAAGTACTAAAGGATTTTGGTGAAACTGGAATCTTCTTTACGATTACGAATACTTTGCGCTTACAGATCGTTAAAACGTGGATGAAGAGTCTAGAGTAGACTCTAGAGGCACAATGACGTTTTGGTTTTTGCTTTTGTCTTGAGGACTCATGTTTGTAGTGACTTTCTCAAGATTCGATGGTTTTACCGTACAATTGTATTCGCGCAA